CAATCAATCAATCAATCAATCAGTACTCGGAGTCTTTCTGCCTCTTTTTGTTCAGGAGATATTCCTGTCCATAAGTTTACTAACGTATATAAGATCTATCTGGGGTATATTTTGGTTTTTGTAAACAGGAACGTAAAGGGTTCCTGTATGCACAGGATATCTGTTTTGTTTTCAAATACTATTTGTAATATAGTATCGTAGACCTTTAGTATTCTGCCCACATTCGTCTAATAGACTGTTAGGTTCCATATCCTGGGCTAGTAATGATTGTGCACGTCATCTTGACACATTAAGTGTCTACTTATATGTATTGGGTTAAAGATCCTCCCCCATTTCGATGTCCTGCTGGATGCCAGCTAAAGCTTTCTTGTTAAGTTTTGATTTCAACAAGGGTTTTCGTTCCGATCAGCTTTTTGTTGTTATACCTTTTCTGAACTGTGTTTTCATTATGTTGTTTCTGAGGTTTTTATAGGTGATAATCTATTCTCCCCAGTGTTTAAATACTAATATAGAGATAGGTATAAAAATGAATACATCTGGTGCAAACCTCTTCTTAGAATTGTCCTTGGGCTTCTGGTTGACAAGCATTACTGCTTTTATAGCCAAAACCGATTTTCGAATAACTTTAAGTTGTAGTTTGGTAAGTGTTGTAACCTTGTTATCCATTACTTTAGGTACTATCGGATAGTTCTAGTGTTTTGCTGCGAAGGGTCCAAAGCAGTTAGTATATTGTGTTTTTGCTGTATAGTTGGATTCTTGTAAACTTTTATGTATATCTTTTTGTATACTATAGTTTGAATAATGGATAAGTCTGGTATATCTTGTTAAATTGCACCAGCCCTGGCATCCGGTATCGTATCAGGTTATTGTAGATTTTGTCTTGATTTCTTGTACTAATTCACTAGTATTAAAAAACCTAAAACCGCGGACTGGTTTTAGAAAGGATATTACCCACATGATTATGTTGTTATAGGAATTGGTCTTATAGTGTAAGGGTTTATAGCTTACTGGGGTTTGGTTTGTCTATACTTGAATTTCCGTTTTCATGTGATTCGCTATATCGGCTGGGAGTTCTGCTATTATACAAATCGATATTGGGACTCCAGGGATTGCGTAATTGAATCAAGTTATCGATTGATACATTTGTGTACCTTGACTGATTCTGAAAATGATCTCTTTATTCTTCTATATAAGAAGTAATACTTGGGTGGCTAGGTTTTTTGGTGTAATAACCCACCCTATCTTGATAGCAGATATAGTAGGGATATCTGTTAGTATCAGATCCGTAATTGCTTTAATGAAAACACTTCTTAATACATATAAGGCTGGTCTGCTGATTCGGGTTGCAAGGCTGATAGCTATTAGTAGTCTGTGGTCCGTGCTCCAGGCGATTTGTGTTGCCCGTTGTTTGGTGCACGCATTATCGTGTGGGGCCTTTGGTGGGGTCTTTTGGGGTATGAGTGAGTCCTCTCGGCCTGCTCTGTTCTGATTTGTTTTGAAGGTCTTGAGAATCCCTGTGTAGGTTTTAGTAATAGTTTATGTTTTCAAAGAAACTATGCTTTTTGTCACTGATAGTGTATACGATGAGTTCGACACTTGGTCAGATCTATTATTGATAGATAGTGTAAGGATTTCAACAATTCTAATACTTAGTTTCCTGGTAGCTGTTCTTTCGTCCCCTGTGGCGAAAAAGTTGATATATCTGTCAATTGCCTTTACCAGGCCAGTTATAACTTTTCACTGAATCCTTTCAGTGTATTTATACTCAGCAAGTTTGGTTTTGAAGGCTTCTATCGCTAGGCTGGTATTGTTGTTGTTTACTTTGTTTCCCAGTTTAAGGATTGGTGATATCTCGTTTGTAAAAGTACACTACCTTCTTTTAAAGCGATTTCATAGATTGGATAGCGTTTCTGGGTCCCGCGGATTAGTGAAATCCACGTTTTCCAGGTTAACAACCTCAAGCGGCGCTGTGTGAGACACCATTTTGTTTCGTGTAGAGTGATGTGTATTGTATGTATTGTTGTGATTCCATAAAGCTTGAATTCAGACCGAATTTCAACTTCTGGCGACCAGAAATTTTTCTTCGGAATATTGTGTTTAGATGTGAAATCATAGGAAAGCCTTCAGCATAACTATATATCATACAACAATCATCTAATCGTAGCATCACTGAAAGATAGTCATGGTCAAAAGGGGATAAAGTAACTATTTGTCTAAACACTGAGGGTAGGTATAACTTTGAAGGGGTAAAACATGACACCCAATCTAAACTACTGGAAGAGGGGGTATAAGTACCCTCTCTAGACTATCACGTGACTCTAATACTATTGATTGATTTCCTCACACTCCTTGCCTACCTAGCTATTATTGTTCTTCCCCAGACTAATCAACACCTTCTTCCTGTCCCAATAAGGCAGGTGCAAACTTATAATCTGTAAACTGGAACATAAAACATCGGTATTCATCATCTACTCTACGTGTAAACAATCAAGATACTCCTCATCTATCATCACAGTGACATAATCTTTATTTCTTAACATCCAATACTCGTTATCAATAGTGACTCTAAACATCCATCTCAACGACACTAGGCTGCTCTAAAGCTGATTTTTTTCTTGTTTCGTCAAGTAGCAACGACATCCTATTCATTAGTCCCACAAGCCACTGTAAGAAAATTACCAAGAGCCTTCGCAATAATGAAACTCGCCAATTATTCGACATCAGATGATTCGGGTTCCGATATTGGAGAAACCACTGTGTCAGAATCTTCTCCATCAAAAGATACCATAGCTCTTCAGTCATCCTGTAGACCCAAACGCAAATACGAATCCAATGACTACAGCACAGAAAAGAATCCTGCTTTTTCCACAGTATCCGAAGTCATTTCAGAAATTTTTGGGTTCTCTGTCGAGGCATCCACCCCCGTCTCAGGGCGCACCAAGTCCCGCGACATCCCTTCCCCACCGAAAAGAAGACGAAAGCAACGATGGATCGAACAAGAGGGAAGCTTGGAGCTGTTGGCTACGCGGGACTTCAAGAATCTTGCCTTCAGAAATGACGCGAAGACAGAGGATAGAAACATGGATGAGGATGATGAAAGGATCTGTGGAGGAGCAAGGCACAATTGGGTCAACGGGATGCGAGAAGGAAAAGGAGAAGATCCGTTTTTGAATTATCTTGCATATTGCAAGGGATTGGGAGTACAATCGGAGCCGGAAAATGGACCAAAGGAGCCAAACACCATGAATGCTTCATCAAAGAACGCGGGTGAAAAGGATCATGGGAATGAAAATGTAGCTGGGTATTTGAACCTTACTACCAGGAGCGCAAGGTTAGATGAGGCGTTACGTAGAGTACAAAGGAGGAGAGAGAGATCCGAGACAATCCTCAAGACTTTGAAGTGGTGGGATGGTGAGGTAGAGACGGCAACTGATGAGGACAATGAAGAGGCGGGACTCATTGCGGCTAGTGCATCTAATGTTGGGTTTTCTGATGATAGATGTGGAAGTAGGGGGTCGACTTTAGTAGAGGAATATGAAGTTGTGACCCCGGAAGACACAGGATACCAAAATACAGCACGGTCTTCTATATCGACGGAAGAACTCTTCACCAGTCGAGGCTCTTTGAGCACAACTGCTAGTCCTCTAGCGAGCGGATCCACAGATGAAGATGCCATGGAGCAACAAGCTGGGATTCAATCGCACCAGATCCAACATGAGATGTCAAAGGGTTGTTCTGGTGCCTCCTCCAATGGATGTGGTACCAACAATGAACCAAAATTCGTTATTGTCGAGGACATTGAGGAAACGAGCCCCAGAGGCCAACATAATGCTGATCATGAGAAATTGGATCTGTCTTCGTCAGAATTTTCCTATGACAGGAGTGAGGAGGACCTAGAATGCTATACGAGAATCGACAAAGGAGAGTCGACTAGAATCACGGCTGAGATGGTTGAATCAGTTAAGAACATTATGGTGGACACTCTCTGTGCCACTGCGGAAGAATTGACGAACGGGTTCATAAAAATGTTCCATAAGGAGTGTTCTGTATCAACCGAGGGCGAAACAACTTGGTACGATGGTGTGGAAGAAGAGATCGTTGAGGCTGTTGCGAAAAGAGTAAGATGCGCATTTATGCACTTAAAGGAGGACTGTAATGGGGCATTGAAAAAGGCAGAAGTAAGAAATTCTTTACTCTGTCACCCCACTACGTCTTATACCTCATACTAACCACATGTCGTTTTCATCTAGAATATCTCTCCATCCTGTCCCAAACCCAAAATCTCAGCCAGACACAGCATCTTTACCAACTGGGACACCGCCTACCCAGACAATGTCATGCGTCCCTCAGAACTCATGCGCGCCGTCCGTGTCCTCATCTCCCTCACCAATCCCACCCCACATTGCCGCGCTATCCTCGAAAACACCCCCGGGTCCGAATACGATGCTTTAGCAGTGCATATACAACACTATCTTCAGATAGGCGCTGCGGTAACGTGCGAGGAGATTATGGAGGGGAGTGCATGTGCATGTTGTGAGCGGGAAGTTGGGAGGGGGAGGATGGAAATGCCTTGTTTTGTTCCTTGGTGGAAGAGAATAAGGAAGGAGAGGATGAAGAAACTTGAAGAGAGATGGGAAAAAGGGGTATTAAGTAGGAAGTTTTTGGATAGTGTTAAGGCAGCTGGAGGCAGCTGGAATTGAAGCGGTCAACAAGGAGTGTTGAATTCGCGCGAGAGCTTGTAAATTAGTTAGTAGGATGGCTGGTAGTTTATTTCTGCTATGAGCTTATCTTAAGTTCGCTCTTAGCGACGGCTGGAATGCCTTGATCAGCACAGCGTGCATCCATATTGTTTGATAGACTACCTATTACAAAGCAAGATATGGTTCATCTCCATCTTTCTAACTTCCTAACTTTCCTTGCTGCTTCTTGATTCTCTCTGAAAATCTTTGCCATACTTCTACCGGTAACCATTATATATCAAGCAGGAGGTGTCTGCATTTTGGTTGCCGGGCTGCCGTGAGTTGTTGATGCTGTGAGCTGTTGCTAACTTATAAGACATGAGATTTATACCGGTACTCTTGTTAAAGATACCTTTGAAATCTTGATTCGCCGTCTAACATGACCTTCTAATATCTAATACGAAGTTTTGTTTTCGTTCTTTATAGTTGAGATGTAGGATCCCAATAAAGTGTGGAACATTGTTGAGGTTTGAGGTTTGAGGCGACATGTATAGTCACTTGATATGCACGTGATTTAAAAAGATCGTACTCTTCAACTGTGATCTAGGATTTTTGTATATGATATTTAACATGGTGACTCTAAGATAAACTATTGTAAATTGATATACTCGAGTATAAACATATCAGCTCTATTACACCCAATTATTCTTTGAATTTCATCGGCAATTTAGACCTTTTTGTAAGTTACAGTACTATTCTCGGAAGTCTTTACCCGATGTCTACAAACTCACCAACATCAATAACCCAATTGCATACCCATAAAACATCATAATACTCCAACCACCAAAACCAGTATACATATGATATGTAAAAGACACCCTTGTATCACTTCAACGATAACCCTATCCTAAGTCCATCACGGGCAATGGCGTACCTGTCCGCCTTTTTCATGTCCCTCAACCCCGCATTCTGCATTAGCAACTCCCACGACAGGTATAGATCAACCAACCAAGATGCCAATAGGGATACAAGATGTACACATGAGGGGTAGTGTAACGTCGTATGGTATCATGGAGAAAGTAGTGGATACTGTACTGTTGGTAATTTGGTATGGATGGGTTGTGAGGGGAATGTATGAAAGATGTCTTCACCCCAGAGTTTTGTGATATTTCAATACCGGTATCTTTCTTGGAATCTCGTCGCCCGTTACTTGGTTTCTTGATATTGTAAATTAACTATGGGATTTCTTCCACAATGGCAGTCGCTGCTCGTGGGCCTGGTAATGGTAGTGGATATAGGAGTGGGAAGTCGAGTAGAGAATGGGGATTTTGATGTGTTGCAATACATTGATCCATTCATTGGGACTGCAAATGGAGGTATGCTGTATCCTTTGCATACGAATGAGGCCAAACATTAATTAAAATACAGGTCATGTGTTTCCTGGAGCGACTCTACCCTTTGGTAAGCTCTTCCATCTTCAAGCCTCACGATCGAGCTCATTGGTTCAAAGGTATGGCAAAAGCAGTTGCAGATATAAACAATCCAGACGAGAAACAAGGAGGATTTGCTTCGGATAATTCTGATATCACGGGATTTTCTCATATGCATGATTCTGGCACTGGTGGTGTGAGTAACGCTTGGCTATGGGTAATGATTAGTTTGCTGATCCATATGCAAGTCACCATCACTTGGAAATTTCCCACTATTTCCACAAACGGGTTGCCTGGGGGATGTTTTAGATAACTGTTTCTTCACCAAGACAGCTCGAGCATCAAGAAGAATCAATGGGACTGCAGAAGCACATCCGGGCTACTTTGCAGTATCACTGAATACCTCTATTCATACGGAAGCTACAGTCACAAATCACACTGCACTATATCGATTTACATTCCCCTCAAACTCGACAGCCAACTATTCATATTCTACAGGGCAGACTTCGCTACCTTACAGTCCTCTCATTCTAGTAGATCTAACGGATCTTCCAGACTCTCGTTCAAATGGATCTGTTCAAGTCGATCCGGATACCGGTAGACTTTCGGGGACTGGAACTTTCAATCCTTCGTTTGGAATCGGAAGTTATGATTTACATTTCTGTGCAGACTTCAAGGGTGCGGAGATTCGAGACACGGGAGTCTTCATCAACAATCGTGCTGGAAGCCAACCCAAGAATCTAAGCGTCACACCCGATGGTATAAATTCACCTCCTCTCCCGGCTGGAGCCTGGACACAATTCAAAGCCCCTGCCAATAATCAGATACTTGCTCGAGTCGGAGTTTCATTCATCAGTATCGAAAAAGCTTGCAAGAACGCCGAAACCGAGATCCCAGATTTCGATTTCGAAAGAGTTTTGACCGCTGCGGAAGATGCATGGAGAGATAAGCTTTCAGTTATTAGTATCGATGCTACGGGTGTTAGTGATGAACTTCAGACTGTTTTTTGGTCTGGTGCTTATCGAGCAATGATTTCACCTCAGGATTATACTGGCGAGAATCCATTGTGGGATAGTGATGAACCTTATTATGATTCATATTATTGTATTTGGGATTCGTTCAGGAGTATACATCCGTTGTTGACGTTATTGGACCCACATAGTCAGACACAAATGGTAAGGAGTTTGATAGATATATATCGTCATGAAGGTACGGTTTTGAAGATATTCTTGAGGTGTAATTACTTGCTAATGTCTTCTTAGGAAAACTTCCGGATTGTAGAATGTCACTATGTAAAGGGTTTACCCAGGGAGGTTCGAATGCAGACATTGTTCTCGCAGATTCTTACTTGAAGAATATCACACAAAATGTAGATTGGCAAACTGGTTATGAAGCAGTGGTATCTGACGCTGAAGGTACGTCAAGCCATTATACATTTTCATATCATAACATTAACAACATATAGATGAACCAGCAGATTGGTCCATAGAAGGTCGAGGTGGTCTGACCAGCTGGAAAAATCTTGGTTACATTCCCACCGATGACTTCGACCCATACGGAGTGGGACCCTTCACGCGTTCCATCTCCCGAACTGTAGAATACGCTTATAATGATTTCTGCATCGCCGAGATGGCCCATGGACTCGGAAAGACCGGAGATGTAGAAAAGTATCTCGACCGATCCGAAAACTGGAAAAACATGTACAAAGCCGATCAAACATCCTACGTCAACGGATCAACCGACGCACCCGATTCTGTCGTAGACAGTGGATTCACTGGGTTCCTGCAACCGCGCTACCTAAACGGAACCTTCGGCTACCAAGACCCCACCCTCTGTTCTCCCCTCTACAACTTCACATCCTGCTACCTCAACCCTAACGGCCACGAAACATACGAAGGAAGTTCATGGATGTACACCTTTTTCGTCCCCCAAGACATGGCTACCCTAATCACTACTCTAGGCGGTTCCTCAACCTTCGTCTCACGCCTCACATATTTCCATACATCCGGCCTCCTCTACATCGGCGACGAACAAGCCTTTCTCCCCGTCTTCCAGTTCCACTATGCGGGTCGTCCGGGCCTCTCGGCTTATTTCTCTCACTTCTACATCCCCTCCCAATTCAACGATACCGTATCCGGCATCGCTGGAAATGACGATTCCGGCGCCATGGGCTCTTTTACCACACTTTCCATGCTGGGTCTATGGCCCGTGTCAGGCCAAAATGTATATCTGATCACCCCGCCCTATTTTCGGGAAATAAGTGTCAGGAATGGACAGACGGGAAGAGTGGCCACGGTGAGGAATATAGGATTCGATGCTGCGTATGAAAATATTTATATACAGAGTGCGAAATTGGATGGGGAGGTGTGGACGAAGAGTTGGGTGGAACATGATTTCTGGATGGAGGGGGGAACGTTGGAGTTGGTGTTGGGGGGGAGGGAGAGTGGGTGGGGGACGGGGGATGAGGATTTACCGCCGAGTGCGTCGAGTGTGGATTGGTAGGGAGTGGGAAGTGGGAAGTGAGGATGGGGAATGGTCAATGGGGTGAAGGGCGGTGACGGTAGGTTTAGCGAGTAGGAATTTAATGGTGCGCGAGCTGTAGTCAAGTTATTTTGCACCTGATCTATTCCCCCTAATCTATTCTATTTCAAACAATATAACAGAGAACCATGAGTAAGATTTACAAACTTCAGTAACCACGATCCAACAACTTTTTTCTCCAAAATTAGTGGTCATCCTTTCCTTTTGATCTACTCGTATTCATTAACATCTCTCTCTATCTCTCTCCAACACACACTTGATTCCTTGATTCCTTGATTTCTTGATTCCTTAAACACCACACCATTCAATACTCGTACTTCTAGAGTACTATAGTAGAGTATTTTAAACGAGCCATCTCTATCTCATCTCAAGACTATTTATTTTCCATCCCCGATCCCGACTTACATACTCGAGTTCATAATCTACTGTACAAATACCATACCATAGCATAACATACCGGTACGTACATACTATCTTTATGAGTGCTCGCTCGACTTAGGGTTAGGTAGATGGATAGATAATTCGTTTGATTTATTCATTCCATCCATGTACAATTCCATATACAATTCCATATACAATCCCTATAAATTATTTACATCGATATCTAAAATACCCGTGTCATATCATATACCTCCCTCCCTCTCTAAATCATTAACTCTTTATCTAACTCGTGGTCTTTTTCCGCTTAGCGCCTTTTCCCTCGCCACTCCCTTTTTCAGAAGCCAATGCTTTGGATGTACCCGTAGATATCACAGATTCTTTATCATCTTCGCCAGCTACTTCATTTTCCGTTTCCTTTTCCTTTTCTGGGAGTACTTCATTTTCATCCGCATCCGCATCTCCATTCACCTCCTCCAAACTTCTCTTCTTGCCCTTTCCCTTCCCCTTTCCCTTCCCATTGTCCTTCCCCTTCTTACGCGCCTCCTCCTTCCTCTCCTGCGCCTCAATACTCGCATCATTCTTCCTCGCCCACTCCCTCGCATGATCCGCAAACGTAACACCGCTCACCAACGGATTCGTACTAACTTTTTTCTTCGCCTTCAATTTCCCCACCGCCTCCCTCATTCTCTTACTACCTCCCCTATCCTTTCCATCTCCTCCACTTTCTATTCCCATTCCCCCAACCCCTACACCACCCTCAAAATACCTCGTGATATTACTCTGGGTCCCCTCTGTCTCCCGCCGATTCATGTCCCGAATAACTGGCACCAGAATCTCATCCACGCGCTCCTGACTCCACCCCACTGTGCCCATTAGAAATTCTCTCAGCTGTCCTAGATCGGGGACTCCCCATTGGAAAGCTTCGGCTGTGTGGTCTACGTCTGGTTTGAGATATGCTTCAGTGACTGCTGCGCTGGGGAATGCTGGAGGTAGGAAAATCTTCGTAGCTTGTGAGCGACGGAATTTCTTGCGGAACAGTGTAGGTTCGCTTGCGAGGGTATTACTGATGAGAGGGTTTTGAATATCGGACCACCATTCTTTAAATTCTTCGAGACCGGTTTGAGAGGGGAATTCAGAGAGGATTTCTACAGCGGTGACGGGTCCGATACCTGGGATCCCTTCTGTATAATCCGAGCCCAGTAAATGAGCTACTGAGATAAGTTGATCTCTGGATAGAGAAAGTTCCTTTTCGAGATCGGATGAGAGATAACATTCGACGAGTTTATTGCTATTGAATAGATTCTTATACACGCGTGTCCCACCGAAAAGGAAAATATCCGAATCATCTGTCACTATACCATCCACAAGGCCCAGACGTACCAATTCGGCACATTGGGCTTCTGCTTCCATGGGTGCGGTGATATAGGGAATACCAAAGAGACGAAGGAGAGCTTGACATTCCGTGATCATGATATGTGATACTTCATCAGCATCTCTGCGATCTTTTTTCTGTTGACTTCGTAAGGCTTTGAGTTCTTGCTCGTATGAGTCTTGGTTTTCTTTTTCGGATTTGTGGTTTAGGGTACTGGCGAATCGAGCATGTTCTTCTGCTTCGATGGCGAGTTGGGTCATGAGTTCTTCTTCTTCTGGATCACTGAAGTCGAATTCATCGGGAATGGCCTCGGCTTCTTGACGGTCATATGCGTCGTCGATAGGTAACTGGGGAGGTTCAATTTGCCTAAATGGGGATGCAGATGTAGGAGCGGCCATTTCGACATCTTCAAATTCTTGTGATGGACTCTTCCTTGTAAAAGTCGATGGTTGTGTAGGCTCGGTTGCTTGGACATCAGGAAGATCTACATCTTCGAAGATAGGAGATGGTGATTTTGATGTCAGAGAACCCCTTTCTATACTCCTTCCAGCAGCATTACTAGCATCTGCAGTCTTCTGAGACTTAGGAACGACGTCCCCATAATCACTCTCTGACCATTCAACCGGCTCATCAGAATCTTGTAGAAATTCAATCGTATCATCTGCATGAGGTTCGACCGGGAGCTGTCTATCCTGAGGAATATCAGACTGCGGCGGTTCAGCTCTAATGACTTCTGCCAAATCATCCATGCTTTCTTTCCTAACTTTTGGCGTGGGAGCTTTATCCAGAACTTCGACATCGCTATCATTATCATTATTACCATAATCATCGTCAGAATCAACTTGAATAACTCCATGATCGCGTTGAAAGATCCTTTCATCCTCCTCGGCTCTTTCGCGATTTCTCGCATTTAATTCTTGATCTGTTTTGCGCTGCTGCTGAACTTGCGATCTGATATCATCATTACCGATTAACCAAGGAGGTAATGGCTTTGCTTTATCTTTTTCATCTTCCGCTTCGAAGACACCAGCAAGTTCCTCTTCATCCTCTGCTTGAATGTCTTCTATAGATTTCTCTGGCTGCTTCTTTTTACCAAAAAGAGATGATTTAAATTGAAGTCTCTCAAACGGCAGAGGACCATCAAACGGATTTTTTTCATTCGCAGCGACTGGCGCTGCCTGATGAACCTTTTCCGGTGCTTTTTGCTTTCTCGCCTTTCTCAAAGCAGCCTGGAAATCCATATCGCTATCGCTATCGCTGTCACTTTCCGCCCTTTCGCTCTCCTCTTTCCGGTTCGGCACAGCAGCGTTGGCTCTATTGTTAACAATATGAGCGATCATCTTCCCACTCGATTTGGTAAGAGGTCTAACATCTTCCACTGCCCGTTGCTCATAATCTGGCATTGGAACATCCTCGAATGGATCATCTTCATCCCCCTCTTCTTCTTCTGGGCCATGACCTTTTTGAAGTGACAATTCGATCGCTCGATTCAGATGGTCTTCCTCGTCAAGTTCATCATCGGGGATCTGATCCTGCTGCAGAGACATTGCAATCGCACGGTTAATATCATCATCATCGTCGTCATGATTGGCGTTCATCGTGCTCGGTCCCGGTTGCCCACCCTCATCATCCACGAATAGGGAATCAGGATCTTCCGATGGTATTCTGACTGGCCTCGAACTTGGTTTTCTTTTCGAATCGCTGTACTCCTTTCTCCTTTCGGCTATTTCTCTTGCCTGAAAATCGCTATAAGTCATATTTCTTCCATCATCTCTGACTTTCGGCAATCGATTCAAGCCCTCAACAGGAACATCTTCGAAATCATCCTCTTCCTCAGATTCAGATACCAAAGCGAGCTTATTCCTCTTCTGATCATAATCATCCACATCAATCGGTTTATTCCTATCCCCCACACCCTTCTCCAACGAAACCACACCCAAAGCCCAACCCCCCTCAACCCCATCATTTTTAACCAAGACATATTCCCGGCCACTCTCTCCCGCAATCCTCCCCGTTCCACTAACCCCAAACATATGCTCTTCCGAATTCATTCCATTCAAATTCATCAGTCTCTGCGTCAAATCATTCCTCTCCCTAACCCTCTCAATCTGAAATCTCGAGAAAGCCATGCGATCCGGAAACATCTCTTCCAATTGTTCCTTACTCAACCCCATCCTCAATCTACTCCTCAACCTCGCCGCATTCAAAATATTGTACCGATCCCCCGCTGGCAAACTCTTAAAAAACTCCCCATTAAAATCTATCTTGCTGAAATCATACAAATTCACATCCTCCCCACTATTAAATTGTCTTGCATATTCCTCCAATTCCTCTGCACTCATAATTCTCGGATCTTCCGGTCGTCCCATCCCCTCTATTCCATTTGTGAGTTCCGGTAAATGATATGCGTCTTTCTTGTGAAATTTCCGTGTCCTTTGTCGCTCTTGCGCTGACATCCCTATCTCATCCACATATGCCAATTGTTCCTCCAGAACAACCTCTTCTTCCTCAACCACCGGCCTACTTCTCCCCTCCCTTTCCATCCTCTTCCTCTCAATATCCTCTTCCTCCGCCCTTTTCTTCATTTGAATCCCCAGCAACCTCCCCGCCGTCCTAACAGCATCTTCTCGTCTCCCCTCTCTCCTCCTCTTCCTACCCAAAACCGTTTGTCGTTTTAATATCGGTGCGCCACCATCAAACACGAAGACTGGTTTTATCCCATGAAACAATAACTTGCAAATCCTCCGAAAGAATCCAACGATATGCGAATTTCGAAGCGCGTTTCCTTCTTTATCGCGCACAGCTTTCAGGAATTGGTAGATCCAAATTGAGGCGTCAACGGCGAGACGTTTACGATTTAGGGCTGGGAGAGGAGTTGGGCGAGCGCATGGTTGAACGATAGTCCAGAGGCCGGTGACACCCATGGTGAGGTATGTGAGTTGTTCAGTGAGTTATGTATTGTGATCGCAATCCGCAGAATGACATTGGTTTCGTGTGAAGAGACGATGACGAGAAGCGGAACTCTAGAAATAGAGAAGAGGATGAATCGAAACTTAATTCTGGGCAATTTGGTTATACAACTGTAATGTATTCATCCCATCTCGAGAATTTCGTGAATATTTTAATCCTGTCGTCTCATCTATTCAGCTTCGTTCAAGAAACTACATCTTCCTTCTGATCTATCTGCCTTGAACTTTCCCTCATCATCAACTAATCGCGTAATGACGCACATAAAATCCACGAACCCACGTGATCTATCAACCTTATCTTATCGCCGAATCCCCTCAATTTCTTTATCGATTTCCCAATTCCCAATTCCCAATTTCCTCCCTCTCCCCTCCTCCACTTCCCTCCACGCACACCCACCCACTATCACAACCATGATCACCCTCACCCCCAGCCCTGCAGATACCGCCCCAGAATCTCAATCTCCAGCACTCCAACAAGCCCGCACCTACCTACACAGTCTTCTCAACAAAATCCTTCTGGTTCATACTACCGACAATCGCATGTTTCGAGGAGAATTCAAGTGTACCGATTCCGTACGTTTATCTTATTCTTACTATTTATCTTGGTTTTCGGGAGGACTTCTCGGTATTGTATCGCATAGGCAGATACGTCATGGAATAAAGGTCGCTGAACTAACTGACCCAACTACACAAACAGGACCTCAATATAATCCTCTCCGAAGTCTACGAATATCGAATCCCGCCATCTATCCTCGAATCTCCCGCTACTTCTCCTCCTTCCACTTCCACTTCCACTACCACTTCCACTTCCACTGTAAACCCTCACCTTGACCACTCAACCTCCCCTCCTCCTGCTCCACGTTCTCCCACAGATCCCTCCCAACCCCTCACATCCACACCCACACCCTTATCTCCACCAACCCTCCACCCCCGCTGGCTCGGTCTCGTCGTCGTCCCCGGCGCCCACATAACCCGCATCGAGCTTGAACAATTCTCCAGCCAAGCACGAGGACCAAGATCTACTACTGCCACCAGTACAGGCACAACCACAACTACAACCACAACCACTAGCACCAGCTCTTCCGATCCGCTCGCCAAAAGGGAAATTTCTATTTCTATATAATGGAGATCATTACATTATTGTTATGATTATAGTCATAATTAGAAAATTAGCTAGCAAAATGATGGATGGACGTATGGTATGGACGTATGATATGGACATATGATAAGGACGAGGAACTGGGGCCTTCTCGCTTACAACCTCACCTCCAGGAGCTGTACGAATGAACCCGAGGTTACGTCCGCGATCCAACCGTTAAGAAGCGTCAAGTGTAGCTAGAGTGTATCCAAAGTGTTGCTTGCTAGGTGGTGGAGGATTGAAAATTGGTGAAGGGAGGAGAAGATAAGGATGAAGATGGGGACGGGGATGAACAGCAGAGTCCGACCCATTGATTCGGTTTGACTGCATGCTCGGATATGCCAAAGGAAGTTTTATGTTGATTGATTGAATTGGAGATACCAAGAAGGTTGTGAGATGGTCATTGCGAATGTATTAAGATACCCTGGGAAAGACATGATATATATACAAAGGCAGCTAGAGAACCTTGAGAAAAGGTTTGCATCATACTAGAGAAAAAGCATTCATTAAAAACTGCGAAAAGGAAGAACCCATAGAAGTGTAACCCATAGAAGTATCCCCCATCCCACCCTTGAAAACCGTTTTATACCTTCCACCCCCCCAAAACCTCCGATCCTCCCATTTCATATTCTCATATCGTGTATGATTAATTACCACCACATTAGCATCATTAAACAACATCGATCCATTCCGAGCAGTAATAACACAGGAAGCAAAGTTAAAGAGATCTTGGGAATATCCTCCGCCAGTCCGTTGTTTCCTACTTGACACATTTTGACTCCCCTACCATCCTTTAACACCGTCACTAGCTGATTATAATCTTCTCATTCTTTCTTGATATTAAATTTCGATCATTATGCGAGCTCTTCTTGACGACCTCTTTGTTCGCCATTGGTGACGCTGCCTTGATGGGAGTGAGCGATCTCTTCTTCTTCCTCATCCTCGTAATCGTCACCACCCTTGTGAACGGCAGCTGGTACCCAAAGACCAGACTCGTTATCGTTCAAGGGTTGGTCTTGACCAGTGAGGTCATGACCTTGAGAGTTACGTTGAATGTTGTTTCGTCTACGTTGAGACAAAGTGCGGGCACGGGTGGAGAGGTTGGAAGAGACGGCAGCGTTGGAGTTAACCCAGTTGGTGAGAGAATCTTCGCAATCTTGAATGATAGCCTTGCTAGCCTCATATCCATCATATGCTTCGCGGGTCTCACCTGGAGTGACAGGGGTATCATCAACAAGCTCCAAAAGATGCTTTCCGTAACCAGCGATGATAGCAACCTTCTCGCAATGCTCGCGCAGAGCATCGAATTGGTAGGTGTAGGCAGCCTTGAGCTTCTCACGGGTGATGTTGGAAAGTTGAGCTTCAGCTACAAGAGATTCAGCCTCAGCACGGACGAGTTCCTGCTCAAGAACGACAATTCTTGGAGATTCAGGCTCCTTGTATTTGAGTTGAGCAATTTGGTCGGTAATCTTTTGCTTGCGATCTCTGCTGGGTTGAACAGAAGCTTCGATGTTTCTGATGCTCTTGATGGTAACACGATATTGGTCATAACGATCAACATATTGATCCTCAAGTTCACCAATCTCGTAAAGCAATACACCAAGCTTATCGGTGACATCTGACACATCTTCATCGCACGCCTCACCCCAAATGGAAAGTTGTTGCTATATGACGTTAGATTGATGACTTTAAATCATGTATTGCAAAGAGGTCCACTTACTGCTACCTCCATTCTCTCTCTACCGACAAGTTCCATACTGCGCATAACATTCTTCTCCATCTTCACAAGTTGACCGAGCTTTTTAGAAAGCTCTGGGCCCCTGGTGTTGAGCGCAGAGTGTGTTCTAAGTCGCATAGCATGGCCTACATCAAAGATTATTAGCAAGCCATCTTTTAAAAGCAGGTAAAAGATAAAGTTTTCATAGCCATTGCATCAATAAATCAGGCCATGATTCACGGCGGCGATAGAGATCATGAGGTATCAAACACAGGTGAACCTCTGCCTGTATAGCCTCAACAATCTGTTCAACAGAAGATTTCTGGAATGGCCATACAGGGCGATAACTCGACGCACTACGTTTCCATTGCGCACTACATTGCCTGTATACAGAAACCTCCATATACCCCACCTTCCCATCATGTAGAATAGGTTGTAGACGTCATAACAAAATTGTACTGACCGATACCGCTTCTGCCGAAGAACTTTCCTGATTTTGTGCTCGATGGTGGTGGAGGAGGGTTTTGAAGTTGCGAGGCCTATGATACAGAGAGAGTCAATCGTCAGTAATGTTTTATAGAATCTTGCGATAGTTTGGGATGAGATGTGCCATTGCCCCTCGAGCTTTGAAAACTTACAGTTGGAGCCCGCGATTGTCTCATAGAGTATGTGCGATGCATTGTGATGGGTAGTTGGTGGGTTGTGAGTTGGTGGGTTGTGAGTTGACGGGTTCTTTGTTGTTGATGCAAGTAAAGGGATTTATTTATTCGAAGTTGTAAGAAGGGATTGTTTTTCTTTGGATGGTTAATTTAATTGATTGAATAGAGAAGGAAATCTTGACGAGCTCTAGATAGGTAGGTAGGTGATGGATGATTGATGGCTTGATTATTGCCTTCTTGTTGATCTGGAGAGTTAAGTGGGACAAATACAACTTTAACTTCATGACGGATCATATGTAACAAGGAAATGACGTCAGTCTAGACCGTCACCGTTGGCTTTGCTTATACCGGCAAATATAAATATGATGACAAATATGATTAAAATGCTAATTCAACCAATAAAACCCCTTCATTTGAATTTGAATTAGCCGAAAGCATCAAGCATCATAGGAACTTAAAATCCCATTATATAGATTCAAACATCTTGATCTTCACCATGGATATATGATATACCTAGGTAGGTAGGACCCCGAAATGCTTACTTACATTGAGTGCTCCACTCAGAAGGATATGAACGGCATTGATACCTGCAAACGTGTCTACAATTCTGATATACGTATTCGTACCTTATTGTACTCGAGTACAGCTTCACATTAACAAGAGTCATGAGAAACTCTGCTACGACAATGGGGAGGAGAAACACTTCCAATGTCACTTCCTTGGTATCAAAACACCAGTATCTATGAATTATCAACCCATTTCGTCTTTCCAATCGCCAATCCTCGAAACTACAATATGTTCTAGCCTAGCGCCGGCATTGATTGGAAGCTGTGAAGTTGTACCTTTTTTGATCATCTAGCCAAAATATCTAGCTAGGTACTGGTGTCAGACATGTTTCTCACTTGATTTGCATTCAGGTTTTCTTGTTTATACAACTTCAAATTCAGACAGTTGGCTGAAACTTTGGTAGTGTGACTCGATCGGTGGTCACGTGTCGGCTATGTTCTAACTAGATTGATTGTCTCTTTGTTTCTCTTTCTTCGCCTCCTTTGATTTGTGTTTTGTTGTTGTCTTTTCAAAAAAAGTACATCGTTATCTTTGTGTGAAATTTATCGATCTTACAAGTCCTCTGAAATCTATTATTTGGAAGAAAGGATGTCTTCGTGGGTGGGTTGTGTGGTGTGGTGGGTGGCTTGTAGGCCTACGATTATACCGAATATTCCTGGTGCATGGCAATGTATGGCAATATGTGGCATAGCCAAGTTGGCCTATCTTTTATGAAAAGTCCTTACTGAAAATAAGAAGTCGACCATATGATTATCACAACCAGTTTGTAGTGACTGTATTTAATATGGCGGGGATTGTCCGAGAAGTCTCGGGAACAATCGCATACCTTGATGCCAACAAGGAATCTTTCCTTTTATTGTCAACCCAGTAGAAATAATTGGTAACTACTATGGCAACCACGACAAAGAAAACAAAAGAATCTCTGATAACAATAGTTCTGTTATTGTTTTCGACTCTTAAATCATAGAACAACTCATTCAAATCACATATATAAGCTCCACGCCATTTCCCACCTCATATTCTCTTCGAGTCTATCGCAACCGCAAACCTACTTCTTTGAAATAACAATACATAGAAAGTAGTGACCAACCAACCTACCAAAAACCATCAAGATGAAGACCACAATCCTCATCTCGACTTTAATTGCAATCACCACCGCAATCCAACTTCCAAATCCAGAACCATACAAGTTCAACATCACACACCCACATCACAGCAATCATAGCAGAATCTCGACTCACAAGTCGAGGCCAACACCAACAACTATGATCACGTTGCCAGGTGGTGTGTTTGTGCAAACAACCATGCCAATAGTCACCTAAACCACAGACACCTACTGCCCAGACATGACGCCAGCTACGTCAGGAATGAATAGGCGTAGACGTGGATGAATGGTGAGTACTGAGTGCTGAGTACTGAATTGAGGAATCAGATCTTGTCGCCACAGTCTTCGAAGGAGAACTCCCGAGATTCAGTTCATGTCATGATTGCACCGTCGCAGAAGTCACCGTCAGACCCTCTCTGTGATGAGTGTTGAGTGCTGAGAAACTGAAGATTGCCGGTGCTGGGTAGAGTTTCTCCTTTATTTAATCTAATTTTCTTTTCTAAACTGAATTATGCTATTTTTGTCCCTCCGTGCCGTCTCTTTGTGATCCTGATATACGCTAACCCAAAATATGGGCGATGTTCAAGTCAATCTTTGGATTATCCCAAGTATCCTCTATGATTATTAGATAGATTTATTATCTTATCATCTTATCACAAGAAATCAAATACATCTACAATTATTCATCCCCCTAATCCATACATTCATCCATCCATCCATCTACCCATATATACATTCCTCCAAGTGGACAGAACTTCGCCTTTTCTTCTATGACCACCATTATACTTACTTACTATACTGTACTGTCTAAATAGCGTCACGCCTTGAATTTCAATTTCGTACTATCTAATGAATATACTCGAGTGATGTACTCGAGTAGTCAGATATATTCCAGCACTTAGTAAGTGATACTAATTAACCTCATACTTCATCACATATCACTAGAGTTGTTTCACTATATGCTTTTTGCTTTTTGCTTTTTGCTTTTTGATTAAGTTACTATAACAAAAATGTAAAGGATTCATAGGTATTAATTAGTATATATTCTTCCGTATTTATTCAGCGTTCGAACTATCCCATCCTCCTCCTCTCCCATCCTATCCTAGACCTAGGATGGAGCTCCTATATCCTGTTGATGCGCAATTTGAACAACAGCTACGCACAGTAAGTAAGTAAGATCTTACCTCCAACCCGACTCAATCTGGAAGGAAACCTCGGAATTGTTTCCAGATCGTGAACATGATATGATATGATATGATACGACATTTTCTCTTATAGTAAGGTTACTGCTTGTGAGGAACCCCGCGTTATACACTCGAATCCAGGAGCTGGCTTTCTTATGTACAAGTTTTTTTTGTTGGAAAGTATAGGTAAGTATATACTCGTAGATAGGTAGGTAGGTAGGTATAGATTATCTTATCGGGACAATTTCTCCTTCTGTCTCATGTTCATCATCTTATCTTAATACTCTCCTCTCATCACATCACATTAGATCACATAAGATCATATCAGATCGGAGGAGCATGTACAGTACATTCAGTATAGTACAAAAAAAAGGTATGTACATCATATTGATTAATGTACATCGTATTACCTAGGTATTAATACCCAGCCAATATTTGAGAAAGTAAATTAAAGTAAAGTACGATAGCGCTTGAGCTGTGTAGCTAGATAGCTGGGTAGCTTTGGAAGTTTAGATTTAAATTCCTAATGAGTAGTGAGTAAGTAGTGAGTGTTTAGAGGCTGTAGGATGGAGGTCTGGGATTGATGGTGAGGGGGTGAGGGTGATTATGATTATGACGATGAGATGCATATTTGATATATATTCACTGGGCACCGAGTAGATAGTTTAGCAGGGGTATATCTAGGTTCTATATACACGGTAGTAAGAATATATTCAGACAAACCCCTTTCCCTCAAGTGAACAAAGAAAGCAGCTAATTCATAATTCACTCATCTATACCTTCCTTCCTTCCTTCTCCAAGTAGGAGAACTCTATTCGCTATTTAATAGCTACACTACTTATTGAACAAGCTTCCCCTCCCTCCCTTACTAAAAAGATATACGCTTCAGAATCCCATTACATTTAACACATGACATGTCATCATAATTGCTCACACCACCAGTTTCCATTCGTACTTTACATAACACAACACGATACGATACGATATATGATATGATAAAAAGTTTTCCTATAATCAAAATATTAAAATATCAATCAAGTCTCAATAGCGCAGAACACCAAACAATCTTACATTGTCCTCTCCTCCTCTTCCTCCTCCTTCTTCTACTTCTTCTTTCTCTTCTACTTCTTTTTCTTCACAGAGATAGTATCAGCAAGTCGCTTTTCGGATTTTTCGCATGCAAAGGGCTATCATCCGGAATTAAAGGAGAGGGTTGCGCAGAATGCTAGGAGGAATTATCCGGGGGATAAGAATGGGTATGGACATGGAAATTGGAATGGGACGGAGGGATTTAGATTTTTGAATCGGCGGACTGCGGGTGAGTTTCTTTTTATTTGGGGATTGCTATGGTATGATGGGGTATAATAGTGATGATAGTGGGAATGAGGGAATGAGGAAAAGAGAAAGGAAGATGTGTTTGAAGAAAGAATTGACTGGATTGGATTGGATTGGATTGTATTGTATTGTATTGGATTTGACATATAGTCACCTGCTACTATAACTCATAAAAATCCCAACTAACCATCACCCACCCCCAGAATTCCTCGTAAAATCACTCCCCGACATCCCATTCGACCTCGGAGAAATGTATGCCGGACTAATACCCATCGACATGGCCAATAAATCACGAGCGCTCTATTTTGTATTCGAGCCAACCGTTGGGGAACCGGTGGATGAGGTTACTATTTGGATGAATGGGGGTCCTGGTACGTTATGCTTTGTTTGTGCTTTGGGTTTTTATATTTTTGATGTGGAATTTTGCATTTAGCTGATGGAGGATATTTAGGTTGTAGTTCTTTGGAAGCCTTTTTTCAGGAAAATGGCCGTTTTATTTGGAGTTGGGGTATGTATACGCCGCAGATAAATCCGTATTCTTGGGTTAATTTGACGAAAGTTCTTTGGTATGTAAATGTATCTTTACAGTAGTGTGGCATGCTTCGTTTGAATTTGATGATCATTTATGTATGTACTCGAGTATGACTGACTGACTGATCATGATAGGGTTGAACAACCTGTCGGAACGGGTTTCTCAATCGGTGAGGTGACTGCTACGAGCGAAGAAGATGTTGCTGAGGATTTTGTCAATTCCTTCCTAAACTTCCAGAGGACATTTGGGATCAAGAATTTTAAAATCTATGGTACGGGTGAAAGTTATGCGGGGAGATATGTTCCGTATATATCTCTTGCTATGTTGGAGAAAAATGATACAGAATATTTTGATGTATCTGGTGAGGAACTGCGTTTCCATCGAGTCGAGTCAGAAAGAAACTCGTTACTAAATATACACAGGAGCATTAGCCTATCACCCCGTCATTGAATCCTACGTATACGCACAACAACAAGTGCCCGCCGTTCCCTTCCTCCTGCAAAACAACAACATCCTAGGCCTCAACTCCACATTCATCGCGCACCTAGAAGCTCTCCACCAATCATGCGGCTACTCCGATTTTCTAACCCAATATCTAACCTTTCCCCCCTCCGGCATCCAGCCCCCCAAATACTTTGACGACCACAACGCCAACGACCTCGCATGCGATCTCTGGGGCTCTATCTACCACGCAGCCTATGGACTTAACCCCTGCTTCAACGTCTACGAAGTCTCCACGCAATGCCCCTTCCTCTCCGACCCCCTCGGTTACCCCACCGATCTCCAGTACCTGTACCCCGGCTTCGAGCAGATATACTTCAACCGCAGCGACGTGAAGAAAGCCATGCACGCCCCTTCCGAAATCAGCTGGAACGAATGTTCCGGCCCCGTATTCCTCGGAACCTCCGGTCCCGAACAAGAAGGCGACCTTAGTGCCGACCCCATCCAACGCGTACTACCTTTACAGTATCTATTTTTCCTAAGATAAGAAAGAAAGAAAGAGTATTTCTTTCGGGTTTTATATCTACTCCTCGTAATCGAGGGTACCAACCGCGTTTTGATCGCCAACGGAGCTCTGGATTTTGAAATCCTGACTAATGGCACATTACTCGCCATTCAAAATATGACGTGGGGAGGAAAATTGGGCTTTCAGTGGAAACCGACTAAACCCATTGTAATTAAGTTGCCGGATCTACAGTACGGGGGACTGTTTATCGAGCAGGGGGCATATGCAGAGCCGAGGAGTAGTTATAGACATTTGCAGTGGGTTTTGGGGAGGATTGAGGAGTTGTAGGGGTGGGAGAATGGAGGATGGGTGGAAATGGGATAGGGTGGGGTGAGGTGGGATGAGACCTTTTGTGCGTGGAGTGGTTAAGGTTTGGTCACGGTATTCAGATGGGTGGGAAATTGGGAATCGGCGAATGGATAGGAATTGAGCCTTGCGTACGTGGAGTTTTGGGGGAAAATTATCAAACGAGAATAAGAACGAGAAAAGTAATTTAGATTCAGTAGTATCATACTATCTATCATGTATCCAATATCCAATATCCAATATCCAATATCCAATAAGTTAAGTTAAATTAAGTTAAATTGAGTAAATTAATCTTAACCTTAATATTATTACTCGAGTACTCTACTGTATATACGCTATTTACAGTACTCAGTACTTGAATTTGTAAGACTTAGAATGAGAGGATAGGATAGGATAGGAAATCAAACATTCCATGAATCCAAATCCACTCGAATGAACCGGATAGAGAGATAGATAGATAGAGAGATATTCAAATGCACATGGAATGAATGTACTCTAATAATTAATAAGATCTTACTCGAGTACTCGTACTCGTATTTGAGAGGAGTAAGAAATCCTTACTACAGACAGTACTCGAGCTACGAGTACATTAAGGAGAGAGAGTTTGAGAGGCTGGAGGGTTGAGGGTTGAGGGGTTGGACTTGGATTTGGAATTGGATTTGGAATTGGAATTTGGATCTGGATGGGGGAATAGATGCGGAACTCGTATTGTAGTATAGGTATAGGAAGGTGACATGAGCACCGTTATATTTTAGCTGTTGTGTTGTGTTATGGTTGGTTTTGGCCATGGGTGGAACAAATAATGAATGGTAATGGGTATGGGTATGGGTATGTGTATTTCTTATTAATTATAGCTATGAATTGATGATAACCTATTAATGAATCATTTTAATTATTATCATTTACGTGTGTAGTAATAGATAGGTATGTTCATAAATTATATACATGTAATTTCATTATTTCCCTCATCCTCCTCCTCTCACTTCTCGGCACGGGTTCGCCCAAGCAAGTGTGCTTCCAATCTCCCCCTAATAGCTCAACACCAATTTCTTCAATTTTTCAAAATTCGGAGTTCCCAATCCAGTAACTGGATCCCATCCAACCGTCGAATTCCAACTTGCATATGGAATGACTGCACCTCCTGGGATTATCGCTCCTGTTTGTCCATTTACCCCATTACATCCTACGCTACCTCCTCCAGTAATATCATTAAGTGCTGATGTACCGAGAATGTAGAGAAGAGGATTGATGAAGCCGAGAGCGGGTTTACCGGCTTTGAAGCGGGCGTCGTTGAGGAGTCCGAGGATACCTGCTATGACGGGAGCTGCGGCCGATGTTCCACCCGAGGGTGATAGTTTGCCGTAGTAGACTACTTGGTAACTATTTGATATGTTAGAGGATGTTTGAAGACGTATAATGAATGAAGAGATAGCTTACTCAGGGGTCAAACTATGAGCCGATATATCTGGGAATCCACGACCAGAAAAGTTGGTGTAACTTTCATAATATTTCTTCGTAGATGGACTGATATGTTTACTCAAGTATTCTTCCACAGCAGCGGTCTGATACCAAGCAGTTGGGAAATAGTTTGAGAATCCTCCTGAACCATCATCCCATGCAACTTCGGGAGATACGGCTTGGGTACCTCCAATTGAAGTAATATATGGACATGTACCGGGGAATTGAGGTGAGAATTGTGGGGAGTTGGATCCATCGTTGGCAATGCATCCTGCTCCTACACCAGTATCTCCAGATGATTCGAGGACGGAGATACCTCGAAGCCCCATGATACCGATCAGGTTGCAGACTCGGACCGCATATGCATATGGAACTGTCTGAATAAATCGGTTAGCAACTGATCATCAATATACAATATTGAAGGAGATGGACAAAACATACATCTTCATCATCACCGTAAGAATTCGAAATCACTTGTGGTAAAGCGGAGTTTGACTGAGACAACAGGTATTCGTAATATGGCAAATATGGTTCATTGGAGTTGTCTGCAGCTGTTGGCAGATCGATATTGGGAATGAATGGTGCAGAACCACCAGTGATGAATTCCTGAACAGGTAAAGGATGAGCGACACCAATAATGTTTTGAACATCTAGGTTAGCCTCTCCGATCTGTGCAGTACTTTCATCCTGATCATTGGTGGCTCCATTGATAAGAGTGACTGAGAAGTTTTGCGCTGGGATACCGAAGTATTTCTCATATTGGAAGAGATCAGTATAAAGAGCTGACTGGTTGAGGAAACTACCGAATCCGATTCTGCTCCCGGAAGAAACCGAAGGGGTATAGTTTCCAACATTGTACAGTTCCTTGATACATTGTGGAGTGATGGATGTCGAGCATGCAGCATCAACTGATACTTTCGTCGGCGGAGTAGCTCTCTTTGTAATTTTGGTTGGAACATTGGCGACTGTCTTTCCAAAGTAAGTTGTGGGAGAGATGAGTTCGATATGTTCCGCAACATCATCCGGAACCGAGTATTGAGTAGTTCGGACCTTCGACACACCATTGCTTGTATAGGTCTGGAATGTTGCATTGAGGATCGAATTGGCGTTATCAATCGTTGTCGCAAACGTAACAGTCGATCCAATGATCACAACATTGTGCGCACCCGCACCCGTCAACCACGAAGTAACAGCACTACTTGCATCCACAGAAGGAGCAAACAAAGCATTGGCCGTATCAGCATCAAGATGGTTTCCATACTCCGCATTTCCGGGTGTCGAAACGGCAAGAAGTTTGGCCTCCAATTGATCGAGATTTTGCATAGCAAGACCAACTGTAAGAGTAATAGCCGCACTCGAATCTGTTGTCGATGCAGTCCATCCGCTAGGTGCTGCTGCCAATTTTTCCAAGAGAGCAGCTGATACTGGGAGGATTTGAGAGAGCAATCCCGCACAAATGGCGGTTTTGGGATACATCATGATTGAAGAGGCTCGATGAAATCAAATATCAATCGATTAATTGAGTCTTCAATGATGAAGAGGAATGGGAGGAAGTAGGGGACGAAGGGCGGAGGAAAGATGACAAGAGAAGTAGGTGAAGTGAGAGGTAGCACAACATGAAAGATCATGAGGGAACACAGCTCCTTTTATCATTATTTTCAGAATTCGATCCGCAAATGAGATTCTGCCATCATTACCTTAAATCACACAACATCCGTTTTCCCCTTGTACCTGACAACAATCATGCACCTCGTCTGCACTTGCATCTGAAGATCTTTTTTGAGCGAATGATCTTTGTTCCTCTTGTTGATATTTCCCGCCAGACCAAGCCGATGTGGTACCAAAGAGTATCATCCGAGCCATCATCTAAATTGCTCCAAGATATCTTTATGACTAGCTAGCTAGCCGGTGTAGTTTATAACAACACAATGCGGCAGGTGCATCTGACAAGAACCCACCAAAAGCTTAATCATCGGCATTTAACCGAATATACACCTTCCAATTGAGTGTTAGACCATATGTAGCTAACCATGGAAGCGGGGAAGCTATCACGGAACTTTTAATTTTGTGTTTACCGATTTGGACTTTGGTTGGTGGATTTGATGAGATGATAGATTGGAAGGGAGCTGAATGATAGGATGGACTGAAAATGGGATGGATGTTTAGCTGGATTGTTGTTGTTGTCACTAGCTAGTTACCTATCTATTCGTAGATGTCTAGATGTCTAGACACAACTACCCAAAAACTATGACTACACATAAATATAAACATTTATATCACACGTATCCTGATTTTCATAACTCCAACTCGACCGATTGAAGACAAACAAGCTCAACTCAATTCTTCTTATCTCATCTACTCGTACTCGAGTCGCTATCTCACCTCACCTCGTATCCATAACGCACAGTCCAGGCGTAAACAACAGCGCGGAGATCCTTGAGTTCTCCACTAGAGCTTAACCAACAAGTGCCCACCTCGGTGATAGAGAGAGTACGAGACTGAGATGGCATTGTTATCTTCAGCGGGTTTGGGTATCGTTATGATTTATAGATTTGAAAAAAGCATATGCTGAACTAGAAACATAAAGAAAATTAACCTGGAACAAATATCCGGGGATTGGCTATCCTCCGTCGCCTGGGTGAATACTGAATGATTGGATGGAAGGTCAAGATTTCATGTAGGATGTGCCGTCTGCGCTCTTCTTCGACAACCAATATTGATAGATACCAAAAAGCCTGATCCGCTCAACTGTAATGTAGCCTTCTCATCGACGTATATAGGACATCCAACTTCTAAAATGACGTCTTTCTGAACTCGAAGCTCTTCGCCGATGATGATTGGGATCATGATTGAAACGTAGTTTGGGGGGGGTCGATGGATTATAGTTCTGGAATAAGAAAACGCCTCGCGAAGCTGGATTTTCGTAATCTAAAGGGGGGATATCGTTGGCAGAAGTCTGTATATACATATATTAGTCGTGTTTTGATAGATAGTGAGATATATACAGGTTAACAGTTACCTTGAGAGACTGCAGAAACCGTCGAATTATTGAATCACAAGAATTTGTCGCAATCAATGAAGTGAATCCATCCACCACTGATTTTCCCTCAATCTCTTTTTGTTTTTCATCCACAGCAATTTGAATAAGTGCAAGGAATGTTTTGTCTGCACGAGTTCCATTCTTTAAAACTCCAAATCCATCCATGCTGATTGATGGATTGTACTATTCTGTCTTTTCTAAATGATAATCATTTTTCCACCTCAAAACAAATCTTATAGGAATCACCTACACTTATCTCAAGGAACCAAGAGTGAATGTGAATGGAAACAAAGTAGATTTCGACTAAAAAACCCGGCGCCAAAAAACGCCGAGAATGCAAATGCGCACACGGTATTCCGGTTTTGGAAAAGGTACGGAGGGAGTGTCCCGGCCTCGCCGAGCCGAATTTGGGTGTAGATGAATAGAAGGGTGAGGCACCCCGAGGTGACGAAGAGGCCAATGATGTGGCCGCTATTCCAGGGGTAAGTGGAGCCGCCCCATTGGAGAGGGAGAAGGAGGCAGATTATGGCGGGAATGAGGAGGGAGGCGCCGAGGAGGTCGAGTTTTAAGATGCGTTGTTTGAGGGTTAGGGAGGAGGGGTTATTGGGGCGGTTGATGTGAAGGATGAGAGATATTACAGCGATGGAGAAGGCTCCGATGGGTAGGCTGTTGGGGGGGAGGGGAAGTTAGCTGGTGATTGTTGAGGTTCTGGACTTGGGGGAGGGGGTGTCGATATCCTCACTTGATGTAGAAGCACCAGCGCCAGGAAAGTTTATCGCTGTTCGAGAAGGTCAGTGGTTTTATAGATGGTCTGTCTGTAAATGGGAGACTTACGTAAAGACGCCGCCGAGTAATGGTCCGGCGACTGATGCTATTCCCCACATGCTACTGATGATACCCATCGCCAGCGGCCTCTTGCGCAGCGGTACTTCTCAAGTCAGTTCTGCAAGTCTTGAAGAAAGCACTTGTATGAGTGGGGAGTTGAAGCAAGCTAGAACTTACAGCTATACACAACAATGATGATTGAACCCGTAAACAGACCTCCAACGCCCGCTCCAGCGATGGCTCGGCCAACGATCAGGGTATTGCTGCTGGTTGCCGTAGTGCAGATTAGGGAGCTGTATGTTGATCTGTTAGTAGGTGAGACTGATAGCGCAGGTGCTGAATACTTACCCAAGCTCGAAGATGGCAATGGCAGCCAGGAACGTATATTTGATCTACCAATTCGTTAGCTAACAACCATTTCTTTATTTGGGAAACGCAGTGCGCACACTGAAGATAGAGTATATCCTTCCAAAAGTAGGCTGCAACGCAGCTTTCGTAAGTAAGTAGCTCGACCCATACCTACAGGCTTCAGCAATCACTCATATACACCTCAAAGACACCAATCCATTGCCTAACACACAACGTCAACGCACTCACCAACCAATGTCCCCCGTACTCTGAAAATGATCTGTCATCTTCGGAATAGCAGTAGAAATAATCGTCTGATCCAATGCCACCAAAAATACAGCAAAACACAGCGCCAGTATGATAGTGATGAGTTTGAGGCCTTCGGGGTACTGCGGCTCGCTACTTACGCTGGCTGGTAGTTCCGTTGCGGCTGGGGTAGAGTCTTTGGGGGTCAGGCTCACAGCGGATTATTTTTGGGAGAAGGAGTGGCGTGCCTCGGGTGTGTCTATCGTCTCTCCGCCTGACGAAGCGGTAGAAGCGGTAGCAGCCCCGTCTGAGGTTTTCACGTCGCCCATTTCCATGTCTCGCATAACTGCGATAGGCGCTTGCTTGCACAGTCAAATTTAGTAGAGACGAATGATCCTATCTTAGGGCTCGTTGTAATAACACGTAAATCTACCGCACACTATCTAGCAATTACTCACAGCAATACTGTTTAACACAAGTGTCACGGATTTATGGCGCACAAAAGCAACCAACACCTCCCCCCCCTCCCCCCCCAACTCACAAGAACCCCCCCAACCCATTCCCTCTCTACCCTTTATTCTCCAGACCAATAAAAAGCGTATGATAAGCTTGACATTTATCACATGAGCGAGCCCCTCGCTAGCAGATCTTGCGTTAATAGCAGGCAGTATGTACATAATAGGCAGTTGTATTGTACCTTGTACTCGAGTATCGTGAAGTTAACGAAGCGAGCTATGCCGTTCTTGTGCGCATCCGGCGCTAGTGTGAAATGTTTAGGTCGAAACACCTCGAACTCGCTTTATTGTATATTAATTTCTTATCTATTGGCTAATATATAAGTATCTCCAAAATAAAAGCTATAAATATCACCACATTATGATTCCCCTGTCCTTCGACAGTTCCCTCTCTATTCGTTGAGATGAGTTGCTGAATCACGTGTGGGATATCAAAATCTACGAGATCTATTCGTTTGTAGCGAATCACGGATCTTCCAGTGTGGTTTATTCCGCCCCTTCCACGGATGTAACCTCAACTCACATCAACATTTCTTCCTTCAACTCGTTTTCTATACAAAAAATCCACAATTCACCAGCCGTCCTTATGTAGATCCTACTGCTACCACGCCAATAGCAACGCCAATTACAAAGCTTGCTTCGGCTTAGCCTTGCGAGGGGCAAATGCTCAAAGATCAATCAATTGGGCTGGGGGCTGCGGTATTCCGTTGAGAAGATGAGTTGAATGCGTATGGTATTATCCCTTTAAAAATGTTCTATCTCTCTCTCTGAGACATGAAAAGCCTCGGTCTATATTTCCGTGTCTAATTCGATACTTTTTTTGCTTCTTATATCTTCCGGTCCTTTATGTTAATTTCTTACTATCCATCCGAATATCCTCTCTCTCTGATATCATACTGTCACGAAGCAATACTGTTTAACATAGTATCAATACACATACTCCTCACAACAACAAGAGCCACCAATAATGGGTTCTGTGACAAGGTCTGAGAATAGCGATTACGATGTCGTTATCGTCGGCGCAGGCTTATCAGGTATTAATGCTGCATAGTAAGATATTGAATTCCCTTTCACCCGGCAGACCAACCGTTTCTCCAACTTCTCAAACGCACCCATCTAACATTTTGCAGTCGTATACAAACAGAACTTCCAGATTTGACATATACTATACTTGAGAATCGCGGGGCAATCGGCGGAACGTGGGACTTGTTTCGATACCCCGGTATCAGATCCGACTCGGATCTGCACACATTTGGATTCCCATGGCGACCATGGATGAGCTCTAAGGCGATCGCTGATGGTGAATCAATCCGTACATATTTTAAAGAATCTGCTGAAGAATACGGCATCGATAAGAAAATACAATTCTATCATAATGTTGCTGCGGCAGATTGGTCCACAGAACAACAACAGTGGTCACTATCAATCGAAACCGATGGAAGAAAGAGCACCATAAAAGGACGATGGATTATTTGGAGTACAGGATATTATGACTACGCTGAGCCGTTGAAAGTCGATATACCTGGAATTGACAACTTCGAAGGCAAAAAGATACACCCTCAATTCTGGCCCGAAGATCTCGATTACGAAGACAAGAAGATAGTCGTTATTGGAAGCGGTGCTACTGCAGTCACTTTGATTCCTAATCTGGTAGAGAAAGCTGCCAGAGTAACAATGTTACAACGAAGCCCTTCTTGGGTGATTGGCGTTCCATCACAGGACGCTGCCGCAAATCTTATGCGCAAATATCTTCCTAGCTCGATAGCTAGCCAATTGATACGCTGGAAATTCCTTGTACTCCCTTTGATGTTCTTCCACTTCTGTCGCAAATTTCCTAACGCCGCGCGCAATATCCTCCGAAAACGAACCATGAAGGAAATCCCATCAACCATTCCTCTCGATCCTAATTTTAACCCTAGCTATAGTCCCTGGGAACAACGTCTATGCATCTGTCCCGATGGCGATTTCTTCAAATGTCTTCATACGGGGAAAGCCGATATCGTAACCGATACTATCAAAAATGTCACGCCGTCGGGCATTACCCTTGAATCAGGAAAAACACTCGACGCTGATATCATTATCACAGCTACTGGACTCAAGATGCAACTTGCCGGTGGTGCCAAGGTAAGCATTGACGGAACCCCATACGATTATGCCACCAAATATATGTGGAAAGGCGTCATGCTCCAAGACATGCCCAACGCCGTGACAGTCATTGGATATACCAATGCATCTTGGACTTTAGGTGCCGACACCTCTGCCGGAGTATTGGTTCGACTTATGAAACATATGCGCGATAATAGTTTCTCGTCGGTGGTTCCTAAAGTTCATGGCGGTAAAATGAAGTCAGTGCCGATGTTAAATCTCAATTCAACATATGTCGAGAAAGCGAAGGGCTATTTGCCCATGGCAGGTGATAGAGGACCTTGGAAAACTAGACAGAATTACCTGGTTGATTATTGGGTTGCGCAGTATGGGAATTTGACGGAAGAATTGGAGTTTACGGGTGGTGGATCTAAAAAAGATCAATGAATATTCGAGCTTTCTAGAAGACATACTGATTGCCTTGTTTGGTAGATTTTGTAAAAGTACATTAGATCTATGGTTTGGGTTTTGCTCTCACTACCGTCGTATTCGTTACGGAGGCTTTTTGGGTGTGTTAGAGCATATGAATTTACAATACGAATGAACAATATGAATACACTAATTGAATATATAACTGACATGGAGGCGGAATGTAGTGAGCGAAGTCGATGAATGTAAATAGGGGAAAGTCACCCGAGGAAGTCGATGATTTTTGCTTTGTATTTTTGGCTTGAATTTTTGGGGGGTTTTTGTAGATCTTTTCTATATGTACCTGGGTACTGTACACTTCTCTTTTTGAGTTTCTGATTCCTTCTCGCTGATTGAAGAGGTACAGTACAGTACAGTACTTTCCTTTCTCAAGATATCACTACCACTTCTTCATTCTTTCATTCCTACCTTGGGCACAATTAAATTTAATACCGAAATTGAATCTCACCGCTTGGGTTCGTACAAGTAGTTCTGCCCTATCGGCAAAGTTTCCTCGGAATTTCATCTATCTGACCTTGGCTTCTGTCGGTAATCTATCATCTATCATTTGCTAAAATAGTCTTTGGGAAAGTTCCTGACTAGTTCACCATGCGAAACAAGTTTGCAAGGTAGGTTAAGCTTGCTGTATACATATCAGATAACTCGAGTAGGGAAAAGGGAAAAAAATCTCTTATCCTTCCTCAAGATTGATCCACAATGATACTGTACCTTATCGTCCGATCGTCCAAACGGTCAAGCAGGCAGGTCTTGCGGCCGGCCTATCAATATAATATAGTGTCTAGATTTTCCAATATTCTGTGGAAACGTTGGAAACGTGGAAATGGCGAATCGCGGAAACGGTGAGTGATTGTTGGATATAAGTATATCTTTACTTTCTAGTTTGCTTTTTACTTCTCTCCCTTTTTTCTTTAATTGTGTTTATTTCTACTCTTATTATATAGTATTGATTCTCCTCGTGTATCTTGAATATCTTCTTGATCACCTCATAATTTTTTATATCATCCCAAAAAATGTCCAGTTCGTCCTCTTGGCCGCCATGGCTCGCCAAATGCACAACAATGCCTCCAAAATATATGCAAGCATCCATCATAATATCGATCGGCGGCATCCTATTCGGTCTTGATACAGGAACTATCGCTCCCCTAACTGTTATGCCTCAATTCGCCGAAACATTCGGTACACTCTCATCAACCGTCGTACGTACCGTACAATCCTTCCCCCTTCATTTCCTCGCCTATCTTATCTCACCAAACCAAACTAAAACTAACACGATTTTCCCACCCAGCACGGCCTCGTCGTCTCCACAATCCTCATCCCCGCAGCCCTCTCTTCAATGTTCACCGGCCACTTGGCCAATACCCTCGGTCGCTTAACAGCGACTGCAATCGGCTCCTTCATTTTTGGTATCGGCGCTATCATTGAATGTTCTTCTTTTGGCCTCCCACAACTCTTCATCGGTCGCGCCATCAAAGGAGTCGGCGAGGGCTTTTTTCTCAGCACGTTAGTCGTTTATATCACTGAGATCTCGCCTCCTTCCCAACGAGGCACCCTCGCTAGTCTTCCGCAGCTCATCACCACGTTGGGCATTCTGACTGGCTATTTTATGTGTTATGGTTCCGTAGATATAGCATCAAGCTTAAGTTGGAGAATTCCGTTTGCGGTCCAAGCCATCATTGCTTTTCTATTCACAGCAAGCACGTTGTTGTTCCTCCCGCAAAGTCCAAGATGGTTAGCAGCGAGAGGAAGGTTCGAAGAAGCGGAACGCGTATGGTTGGATCTAGGGGTCCCAGATGAAGAGAGAGAAAAGGTGGAGGAGGTAGATGATACGGAAAAGGCAGATCAGGAAGTTAAGGCGAAAGATATTCTTGCGATTTTTGCGCCGGATGCTTGGAAGAGGACGGTTTTGGGTTTGTTCTTGATGGGTATACAGCAAGCGAGTGGTATTGATGGGGTTTTATATGTATGTTCTTTCGATTATTTCCTATCCCTTCATTTCGAGTTAATCTTTCTCTGAAGCGAAAATCAAAAGAATAAACACTAATAAAAACAGTACGCACCCATTCTCTTCCAATCGGCTGGCCTAACCTCCTCCACCGCCTCATTTCTCGCCTCCGGAATCTCCGCACTTCTCATCTTCCTCACCACCATCCCAGCCTTCATGCTCGCCGACAAATGGGGCCGCAGAACCTCCACTATCGCCGGCGGTATCGGCCAGGTAATCGTCATGTTCATCATCGCCTCACTCTACGCATCCAACTCGGTGCATTCCTCTTCTGGCGTGGGTCGCTGGATCGTTATCATCTGCATTTACCTCTTTGCGATCATATTTTCCGCCACGTGGGCCGTGTCGTTTAGAGTCTATGTGTCTGAGATTCAGAGCGCGAAAACGAGGGCGGGGGCCACGAGTCTAAGTTTGAGTGCTAATTGGGTGGTTAATTGGATAATAGCGTTTACGACCCCGATCTTCTTGAGTAAGAGTCAGAGTGGTTGTTATTGGTTGTGGGGAGGGGCGGCAATGGTGGCGGTGGTGGTGGCGTTTTTTTGGATGCCAGAGACGATGGGGAAGAGTTTGGAGGAGATTGATAGGGCGTTTAGGAAGGGGGGGAGTGAGGGGGTGGTTGGGGGAGGTGGAGTGGTGGAAGAGGGGAGGGGGGAGAGTTTGGGGGGGAGGAATGAGGATACAGTTGGGAGGGATGACAAGCATGAGGTGGAAGATACTTCGGAAGTTGTTGTCAATACCCCAGCTTTGAGTTCCAGTGTGTCGTTGTCGTGATCTGGTATAAGGGGTGGATAGTCATCGATTTAGAGCAGGTAGAGGGTCTCATGGATGCCTGCTGCTGCTTCTGGTATATTGACGGTGTTCAATATGGGGTTAACGAATGATGATATAGAGTAGATGGTTAAAGGATATAAAGGATAGACTGGTGTTGGGAAAGAATAACAGAGCAATTTATCCGGAGGTTTTGGACAAAAACAGCTCTTGATGGTTTTAAGGGTCAACCAAAATGTTGGATCTCCGAAAGATGATGGAAGAAATAGATGAAATTCTCAAACGAGTTGGGTCTCTTAATGATTTGAGCAGTACTCGTATATTATCGGGCATCATCTTGGAAAAGACTCTTGTCTAAAAGATTCCGGATAGAGTACTATTATAGAATAATAAGACCAGATAGAATCGGTACAATATATAGGATTTCACCATCCATATAATTATTAAGTCAGGACTTTAACTACAAATGAACCATCCACTTCTCCTTATCCTACCATGATGAGTACTTTAAACAATAAAAATATTGAAACTGACATAAATACAAATAAATAAATGACTCTGCCAGTGTACAAATTAACTTGATATCGGTAAAGAGATTTTGATCACATGATCTAGCTTGACGCGTCAATGTGCCCCACGTGAAAAGATATACAGTACATCCTCATAACGCTTCGGAATCGGATATCGATCTCTCTGAACCACAATCACAGGAAGACAGCCTTACACGATGTTGTGCAACGGTAGTTACGGTACACATACCGGTACACCATCCCTTCTTAGATATGCTTCGAATTCGCACCAGGGCTGATATTTGTTTATTCTTAATGCATATGTTCGACGATCTTTCGATGATCAAAATCTCCCAAAATAGTTCTCTCTCAGCCACTTATGGAGATAGATATTGATATCAGTTCACGGTGCACCCCTGATGGGCTAGTTTGCGTGGATCTAAGGTATATCTCGATTTGGACATTGGACATTAGACATTGGTCTTTTCAGCTCGAAAGAAGTGATATTATCAATACTGGGAATGTATTTGCCGCAGATGGAAGTATCATATTATGGCAAAACGCCTAAAAGGGCGACAGTTTTCTTGGGGAGGGATAAGTGGAGATGAGTAATGAGTATCACGAACTACGATTGTCTCACTTCTATAAACATTGGACAAGACGTATACCGGTAGGTAGGTAGGTGATCCAGATTTCTTATTGGGAAGTGACGATTGTACCGCGTCAATTTAGTTCATTTCGTGCTTGCTCTCTATCAACCTTTTATTTCACTCCCTTTCCCATCTAATGATGTTCGGTCCTTTTTCTTTCTTTTTCAATAGATGACTTAAAACACTCTTTTGCCTGTTTATATATATTTTTTATTTTCACTTACTTTCCTTTTCGGGATGAACTTTCATTGAAATCGAAATCATCTTTGAAATACAGCGGGAATTCGTTACCAATATGGCCTTCTACCATCCCTTTCTATTTCTATATCTGAGCCTCCTGTTCACGAGCGTGACGTCAACGTTTACTTCTACCACTATCATCCATATTGCGTCATTAAAAAGCCCAGTGGCTACCATCACACCCTTTAAACCATCCATCAATATCACCACGACCTCAGCTGCTTCTGCCTCTTCCTATTGGCTTGAAGAAATCACTCATCAGGGACTTGCGCCGTTCAATCCGAACGTTACCTTATATCAGGTCTTCCGTAATGTCAAAGACTTTGGAGCTAAAGGTCGGTGTCTTCACTTCATACCCATTCGTACAAGCGAGCTGACATTGCCAAGGGGATGGCATCACTGATGATACTGCTGCTATCAATAAGGCCATCAGTTTTGGTGGAAGATGCAAGCCCGGCGTTTGTCAATCTACAACGACAACACCTGCGGTGGTTTACTTTCCCGCTGGAACATATCTCATATCTTCCTCGATCATTGACTACTACATCACACAGATTATAGGCAATCCAAGTGATCTCCCCATTTTGAAGGCTACCGCGAGGTTCAAAGGATATGGATTGATCGATGGAGATACCTATGGGGCCAACGGACTCGATTTCGGGCCCACAAATCTCTTCTATCGCCAAATTCGCAATCTGGTGTTTGATTTGACAGGAATCCCATCCAATTCTTCAGCCTATGGGGCTCATTGGCCTACTGCACAAGCTACTAGTCTGCAGAATTGCGTGTTTAAAATGAGTGATGCAGTTGGAACCCAACATCAAGGACTATTCATCGAAGGAGGTACGTAGGCGATCTAGCGATTACCTTTGTTTCATGCCCCCCCTCCCCCCAATTCTATTTATATCATTGCTTTATACTGCATCACACTTCATTTTGACCAATGAATTTCAACTTACACAGAATAGGCTCGGGCGGCTTCATGAACGATTTAATCTTTAATGGTGGTAAGACTGGAGCTGTATTTGGCAATCAACAATTCACCGTTCGAAATTTGACCTTCAACAATGCTGTGACAGCCATTGACCAGACTTGGGATTGGGGCTGGACATATCTGGGGATCAAGATCAACAATTGTACCACTGGGCTAAACATGTCCAGCGGTGGATCATCGGGTCAAGCTGTGGCGTCCGTCACATTGATTGACAGTAGCTTCACGGATACGGATGTCGCCATTATCACAGCTTACAATTCTTCCTCTAAGCCGGAAGCTGCTGGGAGTGTCATTCTTGACAATATATCTTTGACCAATGTTCCAGTTGCCATACAGGAATCTCAAAATACTGTTTTAGCTGGAAAGAGTAATGGATCGATGACTATCAGTGGATGGGGAGAAGGGAATGAATACATACCAAATGGCCCCACCCGCTTTGAGGGTTCAATTGTTACTTTTCCTCGCTCTGAATCTCTATCTCCCGGCGGAACTTTCTACGCTCGCTCAAAACCTCAATACGAAGACTGCCCGCTCTCTGAGTTCGTTTCAGTTCGTACAACCGGTGCTACAGGAGATGGGGTCAGTGATGATACGTTTGCATTAAATGCAATTTTTGCATTTGCGGCCGTCGCCAACAAGATTGTCTATATCGATAGTGGAATATACAAAGTGACATCGACCGTCCATATTCCATCGGGTTCGAGAATTGTCGGTGAATCATATCCAGTCATCATGGGATCAGGACCATTTTTCACTGACATTGTTCATCCTCAACCTGTTATTCAAGTTGGTATTCCCCTAGAAACCGGAATTGTTGAGTGGTCAGATACGATTATTTCGACACAAGGATATATGGGAGGCGCTATATTGATCAAGTGGAATTTAGCCAGTCCAGCGAATTCTCCTTCTGGACTCTGGGATGTTCACACTCGTATTGGGGGGTTTGCTGGTTCTGATTTACAGTTGGACCGCTGTCCCACGACTCCTAATAATACAGGTATCATTCTTGAATGTAGAGCAGCTTTCATGTCTATGCACATTACTGAACATGCTTCCGGCCTCTATCTAGAAAATAACTGGTTCTGGGTTGCAGATCATGATATTGAGGATCCCGACTTATCCCAAATCTCAATCTATGCCGGTCGTGGACTTTACTGCGAATCGAAAGTAGGAGTCATATGGCTTATAGGAACGGCAGTCGAGCATCATACTTTATATCAATACCAATTTGATAATACGAGAGATATCTTCGCGGGTCAAATCCAGACGGAAACTGCTTATTACCAACCGAATCCTAATGCATTATACCCCTTTCCAGCATTAACCGAATGGAATGATCCGGACTTTACATCCATCTGTGGGAATTCGACGGGAGGAAATTGTGCCGAAGGATGGGGTCTTCGAATAATAGACAGCGAGTGCGTTTATGTATATGGAGCTGGCATGTACAGTTTCTTCAGCAATTACAATACCTGTAAGTTATTCTTGGTGTCCCGGTCAAAATTGAATCAATGACTATGAATATCTCACTAACAACATACAAATAAAGCGTGTTCCGATCAAGGAAACGGCGAAGCGTGTCAGGCTAGAATCTTCAGCCTCGAGGGAAATAATTCAAATATTGGTATTTATAATTTGAATACGGTGGGGGTCACGAATATGATCACGGTCGACGGGAAGGATATTGCAAAGTATGAGGATAATGTAGCGGGTTTTGTGGATCATGTTGCGGTATTTAGGAGTGAGTGAGGGGTGATGCGATGCGATGTGAAGTGATGTGGGGATTATAGTATACTACTGGAGTATTATGGGTGAGTATTTAGAAGGGACTGTTAGAAAGAGCCCCTTGTTTGCTTTCTTATAATAGCATTGTACTTTTGTTAGAAGGACTTTGGTTTCTATAATTCAGAATTTTTTAAAGAAAGAAAAGAAATTACAGCATATTGATCATTTAATTAAGAGGGAAATCTTCTTGGCACTACACTATTCGGTGGTTTCTTCTGCTCTGCTCTGCTCGATACTATTTCCTGATGCACTCACTTTCTACATCTCATCTCATTTCATAACAATCAACCACAAAGAACCTACTTGATATCAAATCAACCACTCAAAAATCAATTTGAACCTCACAAATGAAATTCCCCGAGATTTTTAATACTTTGTAATGAAATAGGTTCGGGACTAGAGGTGAGATGAGGTGAGGTGAGGTGAAGGTGATTTTATTCTATTTTAAATTTCAAATAAAGGAATGTGATGGATATTTTGAAGATCTCTGATTTGATTTTGATTTTGTTGCATGTCTTACTACCTGCCGTTATATATATAAGGTATACATGTAATCCAGATTGCTTGTTTATATATATGAGTATGGATGGGGATTTGTACGGTAGAAAATGCCATCTTGATCTCTTTTTCGGCCTCCTCAGATCCGCTCTGCTATTCTGCATGCTATTGTCCACGTCACAAGGACAATGAAGACCACAAAGAACAAAGACCATAAAGACAAGATGATAGCTAACTAGCCCGTACATATTCTGAGATTTGCCTACCTACCTACTCATAATCTAGCAGTAGATATACGAGAAATACGAGTAGAATTAGACATACCCCCACACACATATTTACCTCTACAAAGAAACTGGAGCACATGACACCATTTGATATCAAATTGCAAACAAAGAACTCACTACCCACAAATCCACCCCATCTCTCCATCTCTTCTCTTTATCCTCATCCTCCCCTCTACCGTACCGTGTCAAATCAAATCACCATCTCCAAACCTCGCACCATCTCATACATTCTCCATTCATTCCACATCCCACATTCCACACAACAAAGAAACACACCTAACCCACAAACCCACAATACCCAACCCTCAACCCTCTTTCTCTTCTCTTCCATCTCTTCCACACCCAACCGGCTATCGACCCCGCGGTTCCGGACCGATTTGAAGATGTGCAACAATTCAGGTACCGGTTCAGGTACAGGGTACGGGAATAGGTGTCAAAGTATGAATGATTAGTAAGAGAACGAATGACGGATTAGGTTTAGAGTTTAGAGATAGAAATTGGGTTAAAAATAAGAATCGTGTAAGAGGTACTGTAAAGAAGAAAACAAAGAAGAAATAGGAGAGGAGAGGAGAGGAGAAAAGAGGAAAAGAAGAAAAGAGGAGAGGAGTGGAGTGGAGTGGAGCGGAGATGAGTGAAGTGGGTAAAATAAGAATAATAGATTTTTACACATATAAAAAAGGGAAGAGTAGAAACAAACTCCCGCTAATCGTTATTGTTGAATAAACCGAATAAATTCCATAAACCGAAAGAACTACTGTACTAGGTATAAACATAGAACGCCACTAATGCGCGCTATGCCATGCCATGCTATACAATACAATACTGCGCTCAAAATATAAAATTACAAGCTCAATATACACATATATACAATCTATTCCCCCTCCCCCCTCCCCTTTCTCCCCCATATAAACAAAACATCCACATCAACACCATCAGATCAGATAAAAAAACAACATCTCACTCAAGGCGTCTGGACATATTCATGAGCCTCCGCCGCCCTCAGCGCCGCCACCCCATTCTCCTTCCCACTACTACCTACCCCTACCACCCCCATCCTATCTCTCCCATCAACATCAACATCACCACTCCAACTCGAAAATCGAACATGTTTACCCCTCCAGACTCTTTCTCTTTTGGTCCTCGAAGTTTCTTTGCCCTTTCCCTTCGCACTCGTTCCTCCTTGGGATTCTTTTTGCGTTCCAGGATTGACTAGTGTATTATTCATTGCCATCGGCATGCTCATTCCGGTATTCCCCCCCTCTAACCCTAATCCCTGGCCTAACCCCTGACCGACACCCTCCTCCTCTTCCTCTCGAATCGGATCATAGCTCCAGGCCCTCGCCCTCCCACCCCTCGCATTCCCCATTCCCATGCCCAAGCCTCGACTTCCCGTACTCCTCGCGCTCTTCATTTTCCTGCCAAATCCATCTTTCGCACCCACATACGTCGGATCTCCTTGTAGTAAATTCCGCTTCCGATATTCTTTCCTCAGGATCCATACCAGCATTCCTAATATCGATGCTGTGATCAATAGTACAAAGGCGTTGACGCCAATAGCTACTTTCCACGACGTGGGGATGTGAGGGCGGGGTGGGGGCTCCTGGTCGTCGTATTTGGCGTGGTGGAAGGAGTGGGTGTGGTATTCGCGGTATTCGCGAAGTTCGAGGGGTTGAGAGGAGGTGGAGGGTGCGTTGCAATTTGATGTGCAAATTAATGAGGAGGATATGGGGTTTGATTGTTTAATTCTACGATATATAGGGTTAGTATTGTAAAATTATAGTATAATTAGATATTTGAGGTAGGAAAATGGTACATACTCATTGATTTGATCATCTCTATCGGTAGAAAGTGGTGTTGAAATTACAGCTGCCCAGCTTACCGCCGGCAACAACAGAAAGGAGAGACGGTATTCCATGATTATATTGCACTTTTCGTGCGCACCCAAAATCTTTCCACGAAAACAAACAAATGCTCACTCCACAGACAAACAAGAAACAAGAAGCTAGAAAAGATGTAAGATTCGAATAATAACGAAAGTTATTGTAATTAAAAAAAATACAATTTGTATTAATGAGAGTGAATATCGAAAGATTCGATGTTGTAAAATGAACAGATAATGATGGCGGTGAATTGTTGATCAACCATATCAATCAGGTAGAAGGCAGATAGACAGACATTCATAGACAAAATTATTAAAGCAGAAGAAGTTTATTGGTACCAAGAAAAAAACCTCAACAAGCATTGCATTGACAACAAGTGGTAAGACATCATACTCAGGCCCCAAAAATACCTTACCTTTTCTGATGATTAACCTACCTAGAAAATATGGGAATAAGAATTGGAGATTGAGGTGTACGGAGTAGTAGTGGAGGTAGTAGTGATGTGGTTGTAGTAAATGAGGTTAGATTGAGGATCCTTTGCAATGGCACTTTTTTTTGGTAAATAAGTCGATCTCTTATGGTTGCTATTATGAGAAATCTATTGGTTCACTAGCCGCAAACGAGATAAGTATTGTGGCTATGAAGGGTGAAAGGTTTGATTAGATTCGTTCGCTTATTCGGTACCGAGTTTGGTGGGGCTATACTGTTCCTGAATGGAAGCTTTTGGTATTATTGGAAAAGGGGTTATTATAGAGATATGGAGTAGCTGTGCGGATGTACTTCTCGATTAGTCTTTAAACGGTCTGCTTCGCCGTGTTGTTGAAATCCTTCCAAAATAGACAATTGATGATAATTCGAGGGAAATCATCTCTTCCTTTCATGTTTCATAGATGTTCAAGTTAAGTATCGTGAGAATCACGGGTCCAAGCGGTGTCGTGTTGATCGATCGGCCCCCCACTCGCTCATTCATGGTGGAACATCAGGTTGAGGAGATGGAAATTGGATGACCAAATAATCCGTACTTCAGGGGTTGATATAAATTGGAAATTCTTCGAAAATTCCAGATCAGTACGAATTCCAGATCAGTACTCGTATAGTAACTAAAATTGCGTCAAAATACCTTCATTTTTTCTAGAAGGTATAAGCTTTCCATTGCGGCGTAAAATTCTAGAATCAAACTGTGGAGCAGAGAACCACAAATATATGTCCCAGACATTGCCCATCATATGCATACATGGTATAATTCGTACCGTACGAAGAGAGAGAGAAAAAACAACATTTATATATCATCCTCGCTAATCGGCTTCTGCGGCTTGTAAAATCGTCCCCCCTTAGTTCTCTTCTCGGGCTTGAATATTTTCTTCGAATCTCTGCTTTCCTCGATACCTTCCATACCTCCACGGCCCATGATGATATTAAACTTATTCTTCTTCTTCTTGGACGCCGACTTGCTGAGAACCTTTCCGGGTTTGGATCCCTTGCTGTTCACTGCACCCACTCCTCCCCTTCCTAGTCTAGGCTCTCTGGGGACTCGTGTTTTGGCACCAAGTGCCCAAAGATCTCCCCATTTTGATTTCCTAGCATCACGGTACGCCACACGGCTAAAACTCTTAGGAACAGTCCATCGTTCCAATTTACCTGATGGTGTACAAACATCCATGGTGACATGTCCATGGCGTTTGAGAGGTGGCAGCATCGAGCGTGGAAGCGACAATGGATGGAATGGCACATCACCCTCCTCAGGTATCTCTGGGCCGTCCGGTAAGCTATGCTCTTCATAGCCCGCAAAAGATTGGTCAGTGGCAGCAACCCCTTGAAGGATGTTTTCTTCTTTCCTACCATCAATACCTCTTCGCACTGCAAGGTAACTATATCTAACATCTTCGTGATTGCGAGAAGAAGCACCCAATATCTTTTGTAGATAAGGTGGACGGATATAACGTTGCTCAAAATGACAGAAATCTTTTCTACCAAGAGTAAGACCTGGAACCGGATACATCGGACATTTTGTATGATTGGTACATGGTGCAATGATCATGCCCTCCTCTTTCTCCGTGAATTGTGATTCAGTATCGGAAATGGACTGGAGTTCTTTTTCGATGCTTTCGTCACCGGGGGACGAGATATGTGAGTCGAGCAAAAGAGAACGAGCTCCTGCTATAGCCTCAAATCCCCTTGGTAGACCCTTTTCTATCAAGATAAGTACGCCTCCTTTAGGATCAAGCATTGACCAGAGGTTCTGTACCATGTGCTTTCGGCGATACTCTTCCTTCAAAGGAAACAAGGTATGCGGGGCAATGATTAAGTCATACATTTTTCGAGGTTGAGCAGGTCCGCCATCAAGTTGATCTTCGCCACTGGATGAATGGACATAATCAGGAAGTCTGGGAAGAAATGTAGTATTGTCAAGAAATTGGGAAACTCGGTGTCGTAATGCATCTGATCCGGTAAGAACTGCGTGTCTCCCGGAGGGTGGTTCGTCTCCCTCGACAATACCATCATCCCTTAACATATCCCATTCTGCTCGCAAAATCTCTTTCCATGCTACGATACCAGTTCCACCAGCTCCAGCGTCAAGAATTCGTGGACCTTGGCCGCCCTCCCTGAATAACATATCACGAACCCATTCGGATCCTAGTCGTTTGCGTACTTCGACCAATGTGCTCATAACAGAAGTATAAGTACCTGACATCACCCCAGCCAAATATGCATCTGCTTCAATTTCGCTCATCCTATGTTGTGAAGCATCAAGTCCAACATGCTTTTGCGGCAGAAGCTTAAGTTTTCCTACATTCGGGGTAGAGGAGGAATATGGTAACCACTTTCCACCAAATGCTTTGAGCGCAGCCTCTGTGACGTGTTTCATGCTCGTTCTTTCTAGCAATTGAGTAATTGGGGTAACAAATTGTTCCTTTGGCAGATATATAGTACTTGGAGATGTGCCAAATCGACCAGTTTTCGTATGTGGATGTGTACGAATTTCGTCCGAACTGATATACGAATCATACTCGTCTTCCTCGTCATCCACGACTTCTTCATCTTCAAATAATTCTTCTTCGGGTTCTTCCGACGCTTCGTTCTCGTCCAAAGCAGTTGCTTCTTGCTCTGCTGCTCGTGCCATCGCTTCGTCCATATCGCGTTGTAGTCTTGCAATAGCATCCGCCTCTCTTTGATTTTGAGCTTGGAATGTGATGGTGGGAGCATCTGCTTCCGCAGGAGCCCCTGTGTCAATTGATGAATCCCCGGCCTCCAATTCCACGTCAGGTTCGTTTTCCTCCTCAAACTCTAATTCTTCGCCCTTGCCAGCGGAAGCTGAGCCATTACTACCATCTTCCATGACTTTAAATCCCAGCTCTGGATCGAATTCAATCTCTTCAAATTCACCATCAGCGTTCTCCTTCAGCAGAACATTCCTAGACGGCCCATCCTCGCCGATATCCTCCTCCACAACCTGCAAATATTCTAAGTCCTCTGGCCTGGTCTCTCGTAACGGCGGACCATACAATCGTTCATATAATTTATACTCCTGAGCAGATAAATAATCCTTTGGTAGAGTTTCTCCAAACGTTTGCCTAGCCTGTCTCACCAGGGACTCAATATCTGTTGCCGCTGCGTCTGCTGCTGCTGCTGCTGCTGCTGGTTCGGCCGCTGTTTTTGTTGCTGGTTCAGACTCCGCCGTAGATGGAGTCGTTCGAGATTCATCCGATCGAGTAAGGGTCGTGGAGAAAAATCGCAGAGTGTTAGGTCGAGGCTGAATTGATCGATGGTGAAGGTCGCGATATCGTAAAGAAGCAGTTGAGGCGGTAGGTCTTGTGAATCCATGTTCGAAAAGCGAAAGGAGTTGAGATCTACATGATTGGCATGCTCTAGGAACTTTCCGTGCGGTGAGCATAATGATTTGGCCCTCAAACGGTAGCTTGACCAGTACACTCTTCGAAAAGAGTTGTTGTTGCTGACCCTGGCATAAATATTTACCTTTGAACTTTTATGGGATATTATGCGCTCTCATTTTTACTACATACGCCCCGCCAACTATAGTGGGGGTGCTTTAGAGCCAACTGATTACGAAGCATTTGATACGCCAACGCAGCGAATTTATCTTACTGAGAGAAAAAGTACGATAACGAAGTCATTTATATTTGGCGCATATTACTTCATATTACTTCGTACATTCTCATGAGACTGGCTACTCTTATAGCCAAGCAAGTTCATTCAAGAGCAACACACATCCGTGAAAGAATACCAGCATATATTCTTGAGGGAGAATAATCCTTCCTCCGTCAAGACTCGAGAGCTCTTCATCGAAGCACGACTCGAAGCACTTTAAATAAGCATCAAGTGACCGGAAGTCATGAAAGACACCAATACTCTGCTCAGAAGATATCAATGTATACAAGTGTATACTAGACTCGACATCAGCTATTTTGTGTAAACAAGGATCAGCGTTGTCAATAGTCCAGACTATTTCCAGTAATGGTTGGTCTAATGCCCTGAATACCAGATATATTAATTGATGCTTCCTCCAATTCTCTATCTTGTCAAATCAGTTCTATCAATCCAATCCACCCTTGATTTATTGAAAGCCCTATCATGCAGACTTACCCGCATACTCTGCACGCTACAAGGGTCAGATTCTGTCTTCGGGCTTGCTCTATCAGGATCCAGAATATCCGAATCCTTCGCAGCATCCCCTGTCTTCCACTGCTGCATAAGAGGCGGTACAACGATCAAGCCATTGAGCTCTCTTCTATGTAGAGCTTCGAAGAAATCCACGTCAACAGGAGCAGATTGCTGATTCAGGCCTAGCTGGTATAGAATGCGTCTTGCGCCATCCAATGTTACCATGTAACTTGTGGTCGCATATGTCGCTATGAAGGTGGAAATGTATTAGTGCTATGTGCTATTTACCCGAAAGGATGGTTGAACTTACTATACGCTCGGTGAACAATTCTTTCGTGATCTTGTGCCTGGTAAGCAACTAGGTCTCTAGCAACCCAGTTGGCTTCTAGCCTATCCCATCCCGATCGATCCAAGGTACCAACAGTCTTATCACGATAGCGAATCGCAGGGCCCAAATTTGCTTCATCGGGAAGGTGAAGAGATGGGCCTGTATAGAGCATATCCCATTCTAGACCTATACGGTAGAGCCAAATGTTAGATAGCGTTAGGTTGTTGATCCGCACGGAGCTTACCATAGGGCCTCGTCTTGCTAGCGCCAGGCATATGTTTACCGAGTTCTTCTAGTTGATCCTTTATTCTCATATCCCAATCAACATTAGCTTCCAATATTAACGCTGTTTCAAGTCGATGGTCCACGACATAGCGCATCATATCCATGTGCGCCCTCCAACATCCAATTTGGCCTTTTGTCATTTGAGCTCCTCCTGGCGGTCTCGTCTTCTCCAAAACAAACGTTACGCCATCAATTATGGTGAGGTCAATGTCCGAGTAAGATGACATGAGTGATGCGGTGTCGATTTGATCGGTTCGACTTTCCGTGCAACCAAAGTTGGTATTTGGCCAAGATATTCAAGTAACGGTTTCGCAACAACTTACTCAGGTAATATTGCCATCAAAATCGCACCAAATCCCATAGTTCTATTTTGAGCCGCAGACACCGCGGATTTCTCCCTCACACTTTCAACATATGAGAATCTAGTAGGAATAGATGGAATATACTGGCGATTTCTCGTGGCTGTGAGAAGCAATATCCAAAGCAAACAGAGTGCACCAAAAACGAACGGCCATCGAGACTGAGGAAATCTGATACTTGACGACATGATAATAAACAAACAAAGATTTCACCTCTTGTGAATACAAAACTTCAGATACACAATTTCAGAAGGGGAATAAGCAGAATATATTCACCTACGAATACTCATATCGAAAGGACTCCATCGACTCGTATTAATATTCTATTCTATTCTGTAAGGTTATCCATCCAAGCACAAATCCCCGCTTGCGTAAATATGAGAACAGGAATATTGAACGATGAATTCGACGAAGCCGGATATCATAATTTGTGAAAACATATTCATACTACAAGAAGACATAGCATAGTATCAAAGTGCAAAAATGAGTGCATTCGGAAGTACATAGGTAGGTACTGCACTCGAATTATTCCGGAAATAGATATACGGAGTAGGTACCTAGGTATTGTACCGCAAATGCACTAGGTAGCCAGCATATGTCCGTGCGTCGATGCGAAATGCGATAATCCGTAAGCCACAATATTAAAATGCCTGGATATCGTTTATTAGCGAGGGCTTTGAGGTGTGGCTTACGTACTGGTGCACGGTACAAGTGCCAAAACATACTGTAGTACTAAATAAAGCTTTGGTTGTCGATGAGAGGGTAGGGAAGAATCATCGTTAGGGTGATTTTTGCTGGGTTATGTATAATCGTTTTGTATGATTTATAGAGAGATTAAGTAGTAGATAATACAGGTTCGAGGTTCGAAGAATCATTGGCGGTGGGAATTGATTATATTTGTTGGGGGAAGTGAAGATGGGACATTTGGTAAATGAAGGAAGGGGGAAGGGGGTTCGCGTATTTGTCGGCTAGAATGTATGACGGGATGATGTGATGGGATGGGATGGGATGATACGGTACAGTAATCTACTGAATGTCTAGTTTTTTAAGATACGAAGTAGATGTTTAAGAGTGTTCAACTAATAAAGCTGTGAGAGAATACTATTGAAGATATGCAATACAAAAGATTGAAGTGGGGGGTAGGCGGGGTAATGGGCAATGAGTACGAGTAATATGGTATTATGATGTGAGAGTGAAAATGTTTGCGAGTTAGACATTCACATCATGGACTTACTAGTGATTGAACATCATAAGTACGAGTACGAATTTATCTGGACCCAAAGCAACACACTCACTGTGGTAAAGAATATCAATGGGCAAATAAACCATACATCGAAACCCGATCTCAACCATGAACAGAAGGAAGGCCAGTCAACCGTGACCGAAAACTTGGAATCTTGAATAGCTGCTGTGCAATCTATCTACGGTATCCGCGAATCCCATAACTCATGAAGTCTTTATACTATACGATGACGAACCTCTTCTCGTGCTACTGTTGCCGTTGCCCCAGATCAGATGTTCGACCCGATTTATAAGAAATTTGCAAATGGGGTTTCTTGGTGATGGATTTGGAGTTGAAGATGGGAAGGACTTCAGATTGCTGTGGAGAAGTCGACGAAATCCCTGAAGCATTTGTCAGCATGCTCATCTCGCGACTACGTACAACACCACAACACCACAACGCACCATCAGCCTAAAAGCTTGAGATCCAAAACTCTTTGTTCTCGAGTTTAGAACAAAACAACTTGATATAGAATGGTTTTCTTGTGACAACCAAGTACAGGCAACCTGAAAGTCGGAGGTTTGTTTTCATATACCGTAGATTTTCCGAGTCATTGAAGTTATGTGAGTTACGAATGGCATTCGGTCATCCACATCCACATCCACTGTGAGACTACCCCTCACTTTCCTTAAGAGGTGGATATAAATATACATGTGCTATCTGGCTATCTGTCGAGGTGTGAATTGCTACTATTTGATTGGTGGGTGATATTACTCATATCTATTGAGTCATAAACTATCCATGAACCTTCGTGGACTTGATATCGGTCGTACCACTCTCACCTTTTATATTCAAACCTTTTCAGAACCTCCATTAATCAATCAATCCCTCTTCATTCGATTCGAGCTAGAATGGGCCTTCTCGAGAAACTTCTGAGTCACTTGATCAGCTATCCGCTCACAGCCTTGATCACCGCCTCGACCTTATTCATCCTCCTCCGCTATATCTATCGATATATCTTCCACCCCCTCGCACATATCCCAGGACCTCTCCTCCCAAAAATCACCTCTCTCTGGTTACACTACCATGCATACATCGGGGACGAAGCAACTACCATTCATAAACTCCACCAACGATATGGACCATTAGTCCGCGTCTCTCCATCCGAAGTCGATATCGCAGATGCAGATGCCATCGCACCTATATACATATCCAAAGGCGGATTTCCCAAAGCTCCATGCTATGCCAATTTCGACGTCGATGGACATAAGACCTTATTTTCGACCACAGATGGCGATTTTAGAGCTCCTAGAGCAAAGGCTGTGATGCCCTTGTTTTCCACCAAGAGTATTAGAGATAATGAAACCGCGTTATATGGTTGTGTGGAAAATATGGTGAGGAGGATGAAGGAAGAAGCTGGAGGGGCTGAACCAGTGGATTGTCTTAATCTGGCTCGGAGTTTGGCTTTGGATGCTATTTCCACACATCTTTTTCTAGAAAACTATAATGGCACTTCGGAAAAAGGAGAACGACTTTCGGCGTCGGCTTTTGTGGATGCTTTTGTGGCCGTGGGAAGATTCTTTTACTTGCCTAACACGGTTTTTATTTGGTTATCGTGGTTCATGGAACAATTTCTTCTAGATTCACATACTGCAAATTCCATAAAGTTGGTAGATAAGTTTGTAGACAATCTCGTCGAATCTACCCCCAAGGAAAGTCAGAATTATCCAGGTCGGTTACTAAATATGGGCTTCAGCAAGTCCGAAGTCAAGTCTTCATGCAAAGATCTTATGTTTGCGGGAACAGATTCTACGGGTATGAACCTAGCAACTATCTTTCGACATTTAGTGCTGTGTCCAGACAAGTAAGTAAACCTCACATGGACAACCTTAGCGAGTGGTGAATTATTTACAAACCCGCAGGTATGAACTTCTCCGTACAGAAATCATGGACAATGTGACGTCTGCGAATAAACAAGAAATCCAAGCTCTACCATACCTCTCCGCCGTCGTCAAAGAAGGCCTCCGCATCAGCATGGCCAACCCGACCCGTCTACCCCACGTGGTCCCAGCCGGTGGATGGACATTCCACTCCACCTTCTTCCCCGCCCATTCCATCGTGGGCTGTTCAGCCCACGAGCTCCATTTCAACGCGCAAGTATTTCCCCATCCACATAATTTCCAGCCCGAAAGATGGCTTGAGGGCAATATCACGCCGGAAGCACATAAACATTGGTTTGCTTTTGGCGCAGGTAGTCGAGCGTGTATTGCGCGGAATTTGGCGACGGTGGAACTTTTGATGGCGGTGGAGAAGGTGGTGGAAAGTGATGTTTTGAGGGGGGGCGAGGGTTTGTAGGGAGAGGGTTGAGATTTTTGAGTGGTTTAATTCGAGTGTGAAGGGAGAGAAAATGGAATTGATTTGGAGGTCAATTGTTTAGATGGAGTTATATTCGTTCCCGGATGATATAATTGCCCTATGTATCAAATCTCCCATATGGTTGATTATGCCATCATCATCAAATTCTCGAGCTAATAAAAGTCTCAATACCCGAACAACTGACCCCCCTTAGAACCTGAGTGAGTACATAATCTTCGACCAGCGCAACCCAAAGTTCAACAACACAACCGAGCAAGCTCCATCTCTTTCTTTCTCCAATTTCAAATTGCCTACCTATTCCTCTTTCACTCTCTTCATAGCCGCAAATAGTCACACACTACACCACACCCACGACACCAGATATGTATACAGTACATAACACTACTCGAGTGCATAACATCTCATCCCTACCCTAACCTACCCTACCCTACGTCTTTAGATGAGTCTATTCTGAAAGCTCTTGCAATGGGTACATCATGATTGCCTGCTAGAGCTAGAGCTATCGTCACCAAGGAAGAGTGGACAAAGATTTGTTTCACTCTATACTGTAGAAACACAGCATGAATCTTATTATGAAAATGGGTACTGTTCCTTTTTTTAATTTCTTGACAAATTAATCTATCATCATCGTATCATCACCGTCCACGGTTGGTCCCTCGGCTTCAACGACTACGCCACGGCCACGTCCCGCAAGCAATTCTCTCCTCACTTCAGGACCAATTTGTGAATGGCCCTTTGCGTTGATCAAATCTAACAGCGACTCTCTCTGATCTTCTGTAATATCATTTCTATATCTCTGTGCGAATGATAGGAGACATTGATGCCAGATGACTGGCAATTTCGCATCTTTCGAATTGGTCAAACCTTCCATCCCAGATCCAACATCTTCAGGTCGAACACTAGCCGGGTCGACACTTCGGAATCGTAAGAAGTGGAAAACCAACGCATCAACCACTTGGTATGGAAGGGCGTATTTTTTATCAAGTAAAGCCCTGATGAAGATGTTCGTAGCTCCACCACCTTCAGTTCCGGCTGATGATTCTTGAGCTGCAATGTCGCAAAGTCCTTTGATGGCAGCGGCAGAATGTAGAACTGGAATGGAAACTCGCACAAGAACACCTGATATAATTCTTGCTTCTCGTAGAGTGCATGTACCACTACCGATTAAGGGGAAGAGGAATCCTTTAAAGAATGCCGCTGGTTTGTAAAGAGCCTTCTTCAAAGCCTTGAAAAGATGGACATTTAGGTGATTGGTCTCATGAATATCATCTCTGACCTTTTCGAGTAGGACCATTTCCACGAATCTTTGTGCGATAAACGGTGTTCTTGAAACGAATATTCTTGTTGCTTCGTAGCAAGCATTTGGTGTCCACTTGTCTGGTCTGGTAATTTCGAGGATTTGTTCCCAATTTGGTACTGTAGGTAAGATCTTGAATGGTTTCGGTAATTTCCCTGATTTATATCGTGATAATATCAGACCAATTCTGGATTCTTGTCAGTAATTTATGAGTAGAAAAAATATCAAGGCGATTCTCACTTTGTATAAACTTCCAAAACCTTAGGGTGAACGAAAAATCCGTCATCTTGGGGTCCAGCGGGACCTGCTCCAGGTTCTCCCGAATGTTTCGCTTCAAATTGAGCGATTCTCTCCAAAATCAATGCCGTCAAATCTGTACCTTGTTCCTCCTGATCTCCTTCATCCGCCCCTCCCCAACTTTCCTTTAGCATCTGCGATGGATCATCCTCAGCCGGGAAGAATTTCCCAAACGTATCGCGATCTTCGGGTGCCAATTCGACTAGTTCTGGAACCTCATCGTCATCTCCCCATTCTTCTCCATCCTCGTCGTCAAATTCTGGCTCATCCTCCTCATCCTCAAACCTCGAATCAAAATCGAAGGCTGCGTTTGGTTTTGCTGATTGATTTTCGGCTTCATCTTCATCGGCAAGCTCTTGTCCTATCTTTAAAATTCTCCGCGATGATTTCGTATCCACGAATTTTTCTCCCTCATCCTCATTTTTCGACTTTCTCTTTCCGGATTTCGTTTTAAGTGGTCCACTGGCCGTTAAATCATCTTCGAGAGGGTTATGCCTTCTTCCCGCTCTTGCAAGTTCTTTAGGATTCATTGCTTTGGGCATTGTGTGTTGGTGAGATTCTGTCGAAAATTGTGATGTACTATTGAAAAGATTGAAAATAGAAAATAATAAAATTCAAAAAAGTTCGAAAATATCCCCGGAGATTGCCGGCGCTAAGATAAGGACTTCTTCTTCCCCGCCAAATTGCCTTAATCTCTGCCTGATATTTTCACGTGAATAACCGGAAACTGGGATTAATCATCATAAATCAGCCCATCTTGTTGAGGGGAGGCAAAACCTGGACATTCATCTTGTTATCCACTCGAGAACCTTTAATGCTCACCTTCATGGTAATACATTATTCTCGTTGGCGATGAACATCGTTACTTAATAACTCTACTGCCGTTGTCAATTTATATCCTCACATTACTACATACTACAATGACATCTCAGACTTCTCAGACTTCTTATCTCATAGTGGGTTCAGGAATTTTTGGTACATCAACCGCTTATCATCTCTCACTTGCACATCCTCATTCATCCATATCCCTCTTGGATCGTTCATCCCCCTTCCCATCTTCCCTAGCTGCTTCTCATGACTACAACAAAATCATCCGAGCCGATTATGAAGACATATTCTATTGTGAGTTAGCGCTCAAAGCACGCGAACTGTGGAGAAATGATCCTTTGTATAAGCCATATTATCATCAATCTGGGTATGTGATCGTTGATGATACCGGTCTTGGACGAAGAATCATCGGCAATTATGAAAAATTGGGTGTTTCCGATCATCAGGCGCGAATTGTTGGACCGGACGAGCTAAAAACTATGTATGGTGGACTATTTGAAGGAACAGATTGGAAAGGCGTTAAAGAAGTCTTTATGAACGAAGGAAGCGGATGGGCAGAGGCCACGAAAGCTGTACAGAAGATTGCCGAGATGGCAAAGGCAAATGGCGTGAAGTTCATCGAGGGAGATGTGGAGAATATTGTCTTGACAGTGGATGGTGATTGTATTGGTGTATTAACGAAGGATGGCAGGACGTTCCGTGCAGATAAAATCATACTATCGACAGGCGCAGGTACAGCAAAGTTGCTTGCAGATTCCGCTCCGCAGATGCATTATATTCTAGCTGAGGATCGAATTACTGCAGCTGCAGTTGTGGTTGGTCATGTCAAGTTGAGTGAGACTGAGTATGAAAAGATCAAACATACCCCGGTATTTCACCACATGGTCGGAGAAGTCTTAGGTAAGTGGTCGTTTGAGTTGGAGATCGAACAACGATACTGAAATTCGCACAGGCGCAGTACTCCCTCCTACCTCAAATGGCATTCTCAAATTCTGTGCAGATATCAGCCTCAAGAATACCGCACTCCATGAGTGCTCAGGGCATATGATATCGGCTCCACCCAATGAAGCTGATCAAGCGCAGCATAATGTTCCCAAGATTCTTCGAGAGGAATGTTATCGAGTAATGAAAGGTATCTATGGCAAGATGGTTGAGGAATTCGAATTCGATTCTTTCCGCATGTGCTGGTAGGTTTGACTATATTTATCTACTATTGTCAAGTCTAATGTTATCTCCAGGGATGGTATTACTCCCAACCAAGATTTCATAATCTCGGCACATCCACGCTGCCAAAGTTTGTACATTGCTACTGGCGGTTCTTTCCATGCCTGGAAGTTTTTACCAATCATTGGGGATTATGTTGTGAAGATGCTTGACAATGAACTGGATGCTGATTTTGCCAAAAGATGGGCATGGGATCGTGATCAAAAAGGGAGTGTACATGAACAGTTTATTCCTAAGCGAGAACTAAGAGATTTGTCTTGAATTGAAAGGAGGCTTTCGTTAATCACTAGGTAAAACTAGGAATTCTAACAATTTATCGCAGAGCTAATGCAGTTCATATGCCCAAGGGTAGCTTCCTTTGTGCAAACAAGAGAATGTACACCAGGAGGATTGGTTCTTTCTGAACGGCGGGGATATTTCGCGCCCTGACTTTCAGCTTCCCACAAGGAATTGATTCAAATAATTATTTGAGCTTCTCCTGTTTGGATTGTACCATTTCCATAGCATAACCATGAGCACAGGCAACCAAAGAATATGGTACCAAGTATCTATATATTTATCAGCGTCGGCTTCTTCAAAGAAAAGATCTGATAACTCACTTGTCAAGGTATGGAAGAACTTCTGCAGAACCAGGACTGTTTCGCCTATTTCTCTGTCAGCAATCACGATTTCTATAGCTAGAAAGTAGGTAATATACCAATCTCTCATCAAGTCCATGGTCATTCCGAACAATCCCATGAGATGAACACCAGCTTGCTCCATGCGTCGATTGGCATCTGAAGCCAATTTATCGCTGAAAGTACCACTTGCTTCTGTGTTGGCCCAGACATCATAACTAGCCTCAACAAGTGAGAGGGCAAGGAAAGAAGTACCTATCATTCGGCATTAGTACGAGGATCCAAAATGTATTTCGAAAGGCAAACTCACAAACTTCTGTGACAATACCACCAATGATCAGCTGCTTCTTACCGGTCGCTTCAACGGCGGTACGGAAATTGGCATTGTCCCATGCGTTCACTTCTCCTTGGCGCTTTATGTAAGGGGCAGTTGGGTGCATCTGTTATGGTGAGCATTATTTTTAAGTTTTGAAAACTCAGTACTCACGGCAGTGATTTCCGCAGGAAGAGCGCTGTTTGGCCCTTGTTTGGCCCTTGTTCGGCAGATGTGGTCAAGATTGTTGGAAGATCGAAAAGATTTCCAAGAGCTGCATGTCCGAGAAGGGATTGTCTGAAGACAGTTGGATCATAATCTCTCACGAGCTCAGAGAGTCCAATTTGGTGATCAATGACTAGAAGCGCGGCGTCGCTCTTGTTGAGGCGATCGAAGGTATATCCTGTTATTTGATCAGTATACAATTGGATATGTTGGAAACGCGATTGTCGACATACCTTTAACGGTGATGGCCAAGGCCAAGATCATAGAGGAAGAGAGCTTCATGTTGCTTGTTTATAAGAAAGGTTTGAATGCAAGTATTGAAGTATTGAACAGTCGATTATGATGGTGATGATTAGAAATTGTAGAAAACTCTTCTGCTCTTTATACATGTCCTTTTGGCGATGCAAAAGCACTCGAAGCAACAACGTCCCATCAACACCTTGGCAAAACTCACCGACAAAGATCCATCTACCTCATCACATGCAAGGAATATCAGAACGCCGGGTCCCCAGCATCAACTTCAATGTAAATCGCAGCTATTACTCTCCACCGATGGCCAACGGGTAGGCCGAGACTAGACGGCAAACGCAGTGTAACGTTGATACGAAGTTACCATGGCCACGATCGAAATTTAACGCCGCCACCGACGGGGAAACTTCACCACGCATAATAATGTGAAGCTGGCTCCGCGTCATATCAAAGTTTCTTGATTTGCGCAGATGGTTAGGAAAGATTGCTTTGAAGAGGGCCCTGCCCTGTATAGATGGGGATTAGATGAGGGTTGGATATTAGTGGTGTTCCCCTTGTGGTGTATCTGTATCTGTACTTCTATGATTCAAATGTCTACCAGGAAGTCGACTTATGAGTCAGCCAGCTTAGACTACTCGAGTATACTGTTGTCTCCTCACATTTCAAACTTTCACTCTCTACTCGTTTATACTTCACCATTTCTCAAATTGTTTGTTTGTCCACAGCATACTCGTATTTGGCCATAAAATACTCCAGTACTTATCTTCAAAAGCCTGAATCAGAAAAGTGGCCCTGTTATCAAAAGAACATTACAGTAGCCTTAAGTCACTTTCAGTGCTGCACTTATTTCCGGCTTTGAATCAAGAGTCAATATTAATCTCTTCATCTCTTATGCATGCTCTGTACTGGTAGATTTTTCTTCGACATTGCCGTCATATTCCGACTCTGAGTATGACAAGTTTGTATTGTTTTCCCCGCTGCTTGTCGCCGTCCGCCGCCCGTATCTATTTCTAAGCCTAGAGGCGGGAAACAACCGAGGTACCGGTACTTACTATGTATTACGGTGGAATCGAATGGTCTCATCTTATCTGCTCTCGTATTGTTAGGTTGGGTTGGGTTGGGTGGATACTGGATATATCACAATATGATATTGCCAATGTATACCAGTATTTATTATAGTGACATTGCATAGTATATCGGTCTGATTCTTGTCGGAATCACAGGGGCGGGACTTGGGAATCGAGAGGTCCTTTGTCTAGAAGGGATACTTGTTTGTTGGATATTGATATGTGTTCTGGGTATACGATTGAAGTTTTCTATAAGCGTCCGTCGGACATTAGAATGGAATGCAACGTGGTCTAGGCTGCCTCTTTCCCCTGATGCTTCAATTTTGCCATGGTTAACAAAGGTCTAGAAGTCTTGGAAGGCTTCTAGGTAAAGTGGGAGTGATTATTTCACAAGAGCTTGCACGTTGACCCAAAACCGAATTCAATATCAGATACTCGAGTATATCCTGGATTAATCTCATTCTGCGCCATGAATACAATCATATATCTATTTAACCAAGTCACCATATCACAATACAATACCAGCCAGACATATTATTATAAAAGTATTAGCATACTCTATACTGACAATAATTCAAACCATCTCCTATCAACACTCAATTCATCTCATCTTATCTCATGAATCAAACCCTCTTCTCTGCTCCTTTATCTACTGTACCTCCGAAATCAAGTCAAACATGCAAAATAAGTCTACTAATTCCTGTGCTGGTAGATTATATCCTACTCGAGTATGTACCGGTATCTAATTCTTCAGCTATGCCATCAATACCTTGCTAATATACGAGTACTTACATGCACCGCGTATGAAGTTTGAAGTTTGAAGTTTGAAGTTTGAATTCTCAAAATCTTCATATTGGTCTTGTTGAATACTTATACTTTGCTTATTTTATCACTTTTTACTGTATTGTACGAGTAAGTTTAAGATTGATATTTCTTTATCGATTAAATTTATATCTACCCTACCCTACGCATAGCATAGCATACCGTATAAAAGCATAGTGTAGCATAGCGTAGCATACCATACCACCCAAACCGACCCGATCCGATATTCACCAGCCGGCCAGATACCATATCATATTTCACATGCACCAAAATGATGTATCTGTATCTATATCCATATCTATATCTATATCCTCTGCCTTCCAATCTTCCCTCTCTGTTCGTATACCCACCTAGAGAACTCTATGAAATATCTCAATCATCTTTCGTATACCGCATATCATATCTACCTTTACTTAACAGCTCTGTTGCAAGAACGTTATTATAGTACAATGCAGTGATATCGAGAATGAGTTGGCTGAAGATTAATCGGTTGATTTCATATACTGTGCTGTACAGTACCGGTACCTGATTTATGAGCTTGATTCTAATCATATCATATCATATATCCAATACCTCCTCATTCTTACAAATTATACACAGATCCATCATCCATCTCACAGAAGTTGAACAATATCGTTAACAACTCGCTATCAAAAGGATTGAGTAGATTAGGTTATCTACCTACCTACCTAGATTTACCTCAAAATAATTTTACAAATTACATGTCATTCGTTCGTGAGTCGTGACCTCCAAGTGCAAATATAACTTATACTCGTTGAGATCCAAGATTCTCTAGTGTGATTTATATAATATTAAGGTTATATCGGATCTAAATCCAAGAAGTCTCGCTCTTAGTAAGTCTCTGATTCTTTAATGCATTTGATACTGATACCACACATACTTACTTATATGCACATATACTCGAATATATGAATATAGAGATATATATTCTCAATTTCTCGCTTTGATATAATCCTCCCTGTTGTTATCTTTCGCTCGGACATTTTTCATTTTTCATCTGCTGTCCATGGGTATTGTATAGTTTCAAATATTTCCATATTCTGTTCCTGTCTTCCGCTGGTATATGTATATGTATATCACTCATTCACTCACTCATCCACCCGCCAACTCACTCACCATTACACAATCTTATCTCATCTCATCTCATATTTTATAGCATACTTCCGTCCGCTAGAAAATATGCAAGCGAGCTGTGAGCTGTGAGCTGCATGCTGCGAATTTTGAAACCTAAATAGTAATGCATGATACTGTACAGTAAGTGCATGTATGTATGTATGTATGTATGTATGTATGTATGTATGCAAGTAATCTTTATGATCTAATTGATGATATATGTAAGGTACTAGATGATAAATTCTAGATGATATCTTCTACTCAAGTAGATATATTCGAGTACCGTAGTACAGTTAGTCAATAAGTCTCAAAGTTAGTAGATAGTTAGTATTTACAGTAGTAGTTAGTAGTTAGCAGGCCACACATAAAACCTAGCATCATTAATGATTTCAGAATCCCACATAATCATCCCGTCTACTCTATAATCTGTCCTCTCATCACTACAGTACAAATCACCACTAGACCAGGAAGATTTCAATTGATGACGCTCCGCTGGGCCACTGCTGTGGAGGCTTTTTCGCTTCGCTTCTGAAGAAGGAGAGGAAGAAGAGGAAGAAGACGAGGAAGAGGAAGGGGAAGAAACTCTGTATGGGTGAGCGAAGGGTTGAGTGAAGGGGTGAAGTGGTGAAGGAGTGAAGGGGATGTACAAATCATCATCAGCAAGAAATTCCCTAAGAGTAAAAGTAAAAGTAAAACTTCAATGTTTGTATTCAGGATTTAACATCGATATGTAAACTATTCTAAAGTTGACATGAATAACCTGATACCAAACCACAATGTCCCTTCACTAAAACTAATGTGACAAAATGTAAATGCCCTTGAAGAATCTCTATTTAACCCATTGAATCGACATCATCATCTTCAGTAAGATCGACGATGACCGCTTTGGCGGGGAATGGTTGTCTGTTACGCGATCGAAGGACAGGTCCGCTGACAGCTCTTTGACCAACATGGGGCTGTCGAGGGACATAGTCTGAGTCATCAACAGCATCTTTAACACTGTTATGAGGTCCCGCAATCATATCAGCCGTACCGCCTGATCTAAATCCACCAGATCTAGGAATGATATTGAGACCAGGTATTGAAGCCATATCAGGATTAATCCAAACACCATTTCTACCAGTCGTAAGGTTGACATTCGTATCGACCCTACTGCTGCCATCCACACTAGTTCCATTGCCGATATTGGCTCCTCCACCGGATATAGGCTTGACATTGATACCAGGTATTGAAGTCATATCAGGATTGATCCAAACACCATGCCGACCAGTCGTAAGGTTGACATTCGCATCGACCCTACTGCCGCCATTCATTCTATTTCCGTCGCCGATGTTACCTCCTCCACCTATGTTTGCTCCACTAGCCATCCCAACCATACCACCGATAGGAGCTGCACGCCTCATGCCGACCGTTTGAAACTGAATGACCTGACCTGATATGTTTTGCTCCGGCCTCACATTCGGCGCATCTCTATCAAGGTTCAACGTGAAACACTCTTCAAGCCATTTGAACGTTCCGAGTAACTGTGGATATTGTCCAGCCTCTTGAACATTAGGTCTGCCATTGCGAAGGTTGTCGATCAGTTCGTTTTCATTCATACAATGATCACTATATTCATCCTGCAAAGTATTTACCTGCTGTTCCTTTGCCAGAACTTCTCTTCGAAGGGCCTCGATATCTTGAAGAAGTTTATTCCTACTACTCAAATTGTCATGTTTCAAACGTTTCATGTAGTCAAGCTTACGGGCTGTAACAAAATCACCGCGTGAGGCCACCATAATCTGCAAGAAGTATTCGAGCTTCTCTCTCCAGAGACGAAGCTTCGGAACGAAAGAATCGTCGCGAAATACCTTTGATATGTCAAGAGCATCTTTGATCATCTCCTGAATTATAGCAATTGATATATCAGGGAGCCTATGGACTGCATGATGGCGAATATGTTTCACACGATTAAAGATTTGTGCAAGAGTACGGTCCTCTGGGAGATTGATGGCTTCAACGGGTATCTGACAGGCGTCAATTGCGTTCCACCATAAGTTCAATTCGATGGCATCAGGACAATCCCATCCGTTTGCCACCAGTATTTTAGGTAGCCATTTTTCGACAAATCGATAGCATATGGACTCCAAGGCGGTTTGGAGAGATCGAATAATCGTAATCTGGAGAACAAATGGTAAACAAGGGAGATTAGGATGTTGTTTGGGGTATCCGCTAGGACAATGAGGCTTAGGCATAACTATATTTGAATGTTTAAATCAGCTTGGTACATTGAAAGTGTGAATTAGAGGTCAGATAAAATTCTACCTTTCATTGCTAGACTCTTTACTGTGTATATGCCATCCACTAATCTAGGCGACTCAAATTGTGGAATCTGTCCTCGACCTGATCGCGCTGCTCTATCTTGTACAACTGGAACACGAGGTTGTTGTTGCTGTTGTTGTTGTTGTTGTCGCTGCTGCTGCTGCTGTTGTTGTTGTCGATATTCTTCTGGGGGTTGGAGTGGATGTCGACGACTGGCAATTCTTTCACCAATAGTTTGATGTTTGCCTCCTGCATTTTGTCCTGCATTTTCTCTTGCAGTTCGATGTCTGCGTTTCTTGATTTTTCCGCCTTGAACTCGATCTTGACTACGATTGTTATTTAGTAAATTCTTAATCAGTGCTATGTAATCTGGTTTGCTGGTTTGCTGTGATGACTATAATTAGTAAATAAGTTCTGTCATTGTGTATAAAGTTGGTAAAATAATCCAAACCTTTGTGATATTGGCGCGTGGTGGATTCACGTTGGCCTCAGCATCAGCCTCGTCGTCCTCTGAAGATTCATCATCGGAAGATATATCTATGACTTCTCTACTGAAGATATTTTTCTGGTTGACAATAACATTTAAAGTCTGATGATTGACATTCAAGACACTCTTGCTAAGTCTGTCGCGGTCTCTGTCATCCATGATGGTGTCCTCCATGATTGCATTTGTTGTGAAAAGTTGATGTTGAAAAAGGAAATAAGATGGTTGAAGAGGAGAGGACAGATACTTGAGTAAATAAATAATAAACAATACCGGGATGGGACTCAATGGGAGGGAGTAAAGTAAGTAAGTGATGGTGGTAAAATTAATGGTACGAGAGTAAAATTAAAATTCACTTCATTATCAAAATTCTCTTTCCTATCCCGTGATAAATCCGATCGAAGCCAAAAAAGGAAAGAGCAGTTGAACTGACTTATTAATCAAAATGAGGGACGAGGCTGAGAGATACCTACTCTTCCCAATTCACTATTCACTCTTCCACTCCCTTCACACACTCTTCACACCCTCACATTTTCACTCTATTTCTTCACTCTGTTTCCTCTCTCTCTCTCTCTCTCTAGACAATGGAATCTTAGTTAAAATTCAATACTCATTGAGTGTGATATCACTCTCTTCGCACCTTCACTGTCCTCACACTCTTCACACACACTCTCTCTCTTCTTTTCTAGACAACAGAATCTTGATTCAAATCCAGTGCTCATCAAGTGTGATATCACTCTCTTCAATCTCGACAAACTTCACGTCTAACATTTCCGCCCCTTCCTCTCTTACCATTTCGTCAATTCTGGAGATGTACTCTCCAAGACTTCCACTTTCAAATCAGACGTCCTCCGTCACCATCAGCCGTAGAGCGGTCCTGAGAAGGTGGGAAAGTTTTCTCTTCTGAAATATGCTGTGACTAACTAGCTAGTATCTAAATCCGCAGATATAGTGGAGCTGCCACGTATGGCAGTATCCGTACCGTGCTTTGTTGGATAAAGGTAGGGCTAGCATGGACGCTCCCGAGTTCTGGTGGGAATCCATGCAATCATGCAATGGTAAGATCAGATGATTCATCTCTACCCAGCGTCACTTGTTAAGTGAGATGCACCAAAGTTATCAAATCACCAATCAGAACCCAATACATCAAAAGGGTTCGTTGGTTTCTTATTTGCTGTAGCGGACGGATTCGATTGATCTCTTTTCCTTTTCTGCTTTTGCTTTGACATCTCTGCAGCTGCGGTATTTAATGATTCTTTCTCTTGACTTGAATCTTCAAGGATCGATTCCTTCATCGTCATCAACATGGAGTCCAATTGCTCGAAACCATTGAGGGCATCGAGGCTTGGGAGGTCTTGAAGTAGATCGTTTACTTGCAACACTGGTCCTGGAAGTGAATCACGACCACCAATCAAATCCAGAAAGGTTATCATCTGCTTCAGAATCCTGAAGGAGTAAAAGGATCCTTGAATTTGAGCCATGACATGTATCTTCTCCCAATCCCACTCGCTCGCCTTACGAGAAGTGTCATCAGGATCTGAGATTTGGGGTCCAGCCAAAACCTTTTGGCCCAGGCTCGCTTTATCCATTGACTCCGACCACTTGACATCTTGTAAAAATGCAATAGCGGTCCAGCTATCGGCAATGGTTTGTTCTTCGAATTTGATCCGGGTTTCGTGAAGGAATTTTAAAACTTCCGTGCAAGCTTCTGAAATGTCTGAAGCCGCTGGGATCTCCCACTCTCTCCCGTGGGAGCCTTTGGCTTGTCTTTTATGTTCAAAAACGGATGTTCTCCTCTCTTCGATTGGAAGTATCAAATTGATGCAACCATATGCCAATTGACGTATGGATGTAGACATCTCCCAGGCATTGGTTCGAGATGGAGAATCAATGAGAAATGGAAGAAAGATATTGATGCTGGCACTATCCTCGGATGTGCCAGGCTGGGAGAGGCCGAGACATCTCATGAAATAAGGAAACTGAAGAACATACTCACAAACACGAGGATCAAGGGCTTGAAGAGCAGTCTTAACTGCAGAAGGTTCTACCAGCGCTAATGTGGAGGAGGCTACATCAATATACACTGGCAGATACTCTTTGACAAAGTCTTCGTACAACCCTTCGTACTGCTTGATAGCGGTCAATGTAGTCGCTTGTTTCAACAATTTGGTAAAGCTACCGTGGCAATCCATGATAATCTCAAAAGCAAGGGCACGAATACCGTAAGAAGGTGGAAGACCTAAGCGCTTAACAATAGATCTAGCCTGAAAGATTTTAGATTGTAACACTTGCGAATCAGCATTGGACGACGATAATTCAATATCTTGGAAGAAGCCCACCGAGCCATTCTTGCCAATTTGATGAACTAAGAGGTCAGAATCGCCAGTAAGAACGATTCCACCATATTGACTCAAATAGCTTGCACAATATGTATCCGCTTCTCCCGGTACAACTGTAACAAGATGTTTAAATTTGTGGGAGGCCTGCAATGCTTCAATGATAGAAGGTACGAGAAAGGATGACGCTGGAAGGCTTGTAAATTTAGGACGTTGGGAAACGAATCCGAAAGGGAATGACGGAGGATTGGTTCGCGTTGTCGATGAAGGTCGATATCTCAAGCCAGATGCATGCCCATTATGGTATTTTTCTAATAACTGTGTATTTCGATTAAGCCTCTGGTAACGAACATCTAATTTAGCTGGGGGTAAGAATCCATCGAAGTATATCCGCTTCCTACCAACAGTCAGCACAATGAAGGGGACCTTCTGATCATGTAAAACTCACACAACAGCACCACTTCTTTCCAAACCATCCAACCAAGCTAACACGGTCTCCCCAAGCTCTTTGTAAGATGGATTTGCTTCAAAATAATTCCCAGCAGACTTTCTAATACCTAAACATATATGATAGATATGATATGCCAATCCTGGACCATCAATCACAATATCTTTGTCCTTCAATGAACCGAGAGTCGCGTAAGGTCGCAAGAACGTTATTAAATGCGGAATCCCCATTGCGTTAAAGGCGATAACACAACAGTGCGACTATGAGATGGATTGAGGCTTGCTGATAGAATCATCACCAGATTTCGTGGAATGATTGCTCAAGTACGGGTACGGTACAGTTAATTTGTTTCTCTCAAATCAGCCTTCAATATTCAGCCTTGCAAACCCTTAGCGCAATAAACCCCCACTAGACATCACGGACCTTCTCGCCAAAGTTTTTTTTCTTTTCTTTCCGAACATCAAAAGCTTCTTCAACAAATATTCTCATCAACATGCGTAACACACTCATCTTTGCTGGCAGCTCATGCCCGAAGCTCACCGATCAAATATGTACAAACTTGGGGATGGCTTCGGCTCCAGTCGAACTTACTCAGTTCGCAAATGTACTTTATACGACATCTGAGAGAAATCGTTTGGCTAATACAATCTAGGGAGAGACAAGCGTTAAGATCATGACCAGCATTCGAGAGAAAGATGTATTCGTCGTTCAGTCGGGTAGCTCTAAGATTAATGACAGTATCATGGAGCTTCTCATCATGATCTCGGCTTGCAAAGGTGGATCGGCAAACAAAATCACAGGTTAGTAGACTTGACTGAATTCATACCACAAGACTCATTTGCTGACCTTTGTACAGCGGTCTTGCCATACTTTCCATATAGTAGACAGTCGAAAAAGAAATCCCATCGAGGAGCCATTACTGCTCGTATGCTCGCCAATCTTTTACATGTTGCAGGAATCAATCACGTCATTACTGTCGATCTCCATGCTTCACAAATGCAAGGCTTTTTCAAATGTCCTGTCGATAATCTCCACGCGGAACCGTTGATAGCACGTTGGATTCGACGCAATGTTCCAGAATGGAAAGAGTCTGTTTGTGTTTCGAAGAATGCTGGTGGCACAAAAAGAGTAACATCTCTAGCAGATGCACTGAAGCTCAATTTCGGAATGGTCACAACTGACAAAAGACGGACGCCTGTGAATTTGTCAATGAGCATGATCATGAGTCGCCTTGATGACTCCACTGGCAAAGATATCGATTCAGACGCCAGTAAGTTACATATTGGCGCGTTCCCACCAGTGGAGGAGACTGCAGAAGAACCGAAACAAAACGGAGCAGAAACAGAACCGACTGCTACAGCTTTACCCAATGGTGATTCACCTCCACGACAAACAAGAGCACGTCAAGACAGCCACACTTCTCCACCACGCGTCTCCAATATGCCATCAGCCATCAGACCCGGGCATAGAAGTTCTGCTGGGGCACCTTCACCTCTAACGCGAGCACACACTACCCCACCACCAAGATCTGCTCCTGTCGATGAAGCTATTGAAGCACAATATACAGATGAGCGTGCTCGAGAGGTCACCCATGGTCGATTAGTCCAAGGTCACATTGTTTCAGATGACTATCCGTCACCTACACAGTCCGCCATGTCATCTTCATTGATTCTCGAACGCCCTGAGGATGATCCCGTGTCGATCTCTATGGCATCTTCAATCTTTAACACTGAGCCACATGCACTTGGGGGAACAGCAGATGCTGCTGGAGATGCATCAGATGAAGAAGAGGAAGGGTTCAAAGACCCAGGCCTCGAACAGATGATCACATTAGTGGGAGATGTTCGAAATCGTACCGTTTTCATCGTCGACGACATGATTGATAAAGCGGGTAGCTGGATTGCCGCAGCCGAAACAGTGGTCAAACGTGGTGGTGCCAAAAAGGTCTATTGTATTGCTACACACGGCCTTTTTGGAGGAGATGCCCTTGAAGAACTTCAAAAGTGCGACTGTATCGATGTGATAGTCGTTACTAACTCATTCCCTATTCCTCAAGAGAAAGCAAAAGATGCAAATAAGTTGCAAATCTTAGATTTATCAAAGTTGCTCTCGGAAGCTATCAGAAGGAACCATTATGGAGAATCTATCTCTGCTCTTTTTACACATTCTAGCGATTAGATTTCTGGTTTATGATCATCTGATTAATATCAAAGTCAATCTGCAATTTGCTATTTCCGGAGATTTATACCCATAGCGTGGCGCACGGGGGGGGGAAGCCGGACAGGATCAAGGACGGATTGCTAGGTAGCAATGGCACAATGGGAATGTATTTCCTTGGGGAGAACACTAACGAACGGCGCAAATCTGAAGAACCAGGAGTTCATATTTATCAGCTTCTCATTCTGAGTTTATAAGGTGCAGTGAGATATCTTGATATTATTATCCTAAGTATCTTATTTCTCTCATCTTTCATTTCTTTTTCTTCAATCATCCCTTTTCCGATTCTCATCTTCATCTTCCCCATCTTAAACTATGGACCGTTGATGCTCAACTTACACGATTCAATCACTGAGTGTCTTCGAGGCTCTACTCCCTCTCCCTTGCATATCTGCCTAGCACTCTCTCACCCCCCTTTCCCTTCACACAAAAGACACAAAATACCCAGCGATGCGATCTATAGTGATCGCAGGGGCAATCCTTTCCTCTAGAAAGATGTCCTTAACGGAGCGTTGGTAGATTGAACAAATTCTCACTGTACCTACTGTTGCTTACGCGACGGTTGATATGGCGAGATGAGTTTTCAAGGTACTTTATTTGACTCGGACAAATAAAGGGCCAAGAAATACTCGGACATATATTTGATGAAAAACAGATCGGGGATCACGAAACTAATTACGTAGCTACACATGGGTCTTGTAATGCAAAAGATTAATTACAAATATCTAGGTAGATTCATCAGTCAATACAAACATGAATAACATTTATACCACATGTTCGTGTTGAAATTGAATGATGAACATATACATATATACACATATACATCTATAAACAACTGCAATCTATCTACTGTATATTCCCTCCCCTCATCTATACAAATTGTATCATATCAACTTAGCCAGCTTTCCATCCCCACCTCCCCCCCCCCCCCAAAACAACACTTGATAAATCCTAAATCTTAATTCCTTCTCATGAGTACTCAGTACTCAGTACTCGAGTACACACAAGCATCAACCAGATGATATGATATACCGAAGATATGAAATGATAATCAATACTCTGTGTGATTCCGTCACATCATGCCCCCGGTCTCTTATAATCCAATGTTTCAACTCGCTTCCATACTTCTCGCACGACTCTCTCTTGTTGCTGTCTTCCTGTTTCTTCGGGCGTGTCGCCTGCTGGTCTGGGGGGTGGGGGGAGGGGGGTTAGTGTTTGTGTTTGTGTATTAGGTTTGAGGAGAGGGGGAGAGGGAGAGAGGAGAGAGTGGAGGGGAGTGAGAGGAGGAGAGGAGTGGAGTGGAGAGGAGGGGAGAGGACAGTGGAGTTGAGTAGACTGTCATTTTTTGGATTTAGGTGGCTTTTGGGGGTTGAAGGAGTTGTGGAATATGAGGAAGAGAAGAAACATACCGGATGGCTAAATACAATCGACTACCCAAGCTCACTTCTTCAATCGGATCGGTTTCGGGATTGGCGGGGGGATTGGCGGTGGTTATTAGACCGCCGGCTTCGCGGAGGATGCAGATTCCTGCAGCTACGTCCCTGGAGGTTTGTTAGTAGGCTCGAAATGGTAGGGGAAGAATAGGGGAAAGATGAAATTGATTAATGAGAGGATGGAAATTGGGAATGCGAGAAAAAGAATAAGAAAAACGAACCATTCCCAACATCCACCTTCCCACCAAATATCGAAAGCCCCTGTTGCAGTGTAGGCTAGATCCATCGTTGCGCTGAATTCAGAATAATGTTAGCAAGTCCTCGCATTCGTCTTCTTCTCTACAAAGCAAAGATGGAGATAGAAAAGAAAAAACCATGCACTTACCTCCCCAAACTCCTCACCCCATGAACCATCCCTCCCTTCCCACTCCTCCCCCCAACCTCACTCGCCAAATTAACAAAACTTTCAATCTTCTTCCTTAGATTCCCCCCCTCCACATCCCTCCTATCCTTCCCCCACTCACAACTAAACGTACAACCCTTCGGCGCCTCTTTGCCCAGCGGTTTCCCCTTCACATACGGCAATCTCCTCTTCCGTTTCAAACTCCCAGCGTCAAAACTAGCACCACTAGCCGCAACGGCATCGCTCGCACCCACGTGATCATTTTCCCACGCGCCGTGGCCCGCTAAGGCCGAATAGGATACATCGAGAACAGGAGCGTAGATGACGCCGATGGTAGGGATGCCGGCGATGCAGAAGGCGATGGAGATGCAGAACATGGGGAAGAGATGCGTGTAGTTTACGGTGCCGTCCAGAGGATCGACAATCCAGGTGGGTGAGGAGGTGACGAGGTATTGTTTGGAGGAGCCGCTGGAATAGCTTTCTTCTCCGATGAACCTGAGGTTTGTGAGCTGGGGCAGTGGTGGAGAAGATGGTGGTATATACTTATGGGAGGGGTATCGACTTAATATCTCATGCTTGACAAATGCTTCAACATCTATTCATTCCACGTGATTAGCTATATGGCAGATGGAGGCGCCGTCCACCGGATGTATTCTTCCTCCTTCCTTCACGTCTAGCAAAGAAAGCCAAAACATACCCAAATCGGTCTGCGTAACAATATCCACGGCATTCATCTTTTCCTCCTCTTTCCCCCCTTCATCACCTTCGCATCTTTTCTCTACTCCCTCCATCAATATCTTACCAGCCCTCCTCCCCAAATCCAACGCAAATGCGTAGATTTCCTGGAGTTCTTCGTCTGATATCTTGGCGGCCATGTTGATATACTTGGTGTACTGTACAGGTACAGGTATTCGAGTTCAATGATACTTTACACGGGAGCGGGAGGAAACTTGGAGGTTGGAATGGCTTATGGTGGTGAGGGTGAGGTAGGCAAGCAGTGGGATGAGTAAGAGGTGAGTGGATAGTGGGGCTAAGATCACTAACATCTATGGTAGGTAGGTAGTATCAGGATTAGGTTTCAGGAAGGATTGAGGCCGATGATAGGCGTGTAGGGGTGTAGTGGGGTTCGTTCGTGAAGGTGGGGTTGGGGAAGACTTTATGCGGATTATTGATGTTGTAAGATTCATCCATCACAGTCATAACAATCTGTCTCTATTCGGGAATGAGATTTACAAATGACATTTTAGATGTAGCTTTCATAATGGTATTGTATTGAAAGAGCTATTGGGGTTCAAATTCCCGTTCGATATTTGAATAGTCTATTCTAGATCTATATAAATCTATATACAACTTAGAACCATTTCTGGCTCTATGTAACCTCAAATTCATCTCATGCTGTTAGATACCCATCATGGTCACATAAAATCATAATTTCTCTCACCCCCTCCCCTCACAACCTCGCATGCTTCGCTCTATCACTCGCCAATTTCTCTAAAACAACACTCCTCACCTCCTTTACCGGTAACTCCTCAACCTCAACTCCCAACCAAGCTTTGTCTTGCTCCAGCCCCTGATAAACCATCGCTTCTACACCACCCACTACCTGCCACCCAGCCTGTGTAGCTAGTGCTGCTATTTGTGTATCCGGGCTTGGATGATAACACATTTCCAAAATCGCTCCCTTTCCCCCCTCTTTACCCAAAAATTCCGTGATAATTCCACGCGCTCTCTTTTCATCCTCTGATATCGGTGTGAAATCCGGAATTGCAGACACAATTACCGTGGGCGCTGGTAAGGATCTTGCTTGCGCTATTGACTCGATATATAATAATCTATCTCCGAAACCATTGCTACTGCACTCTGCAATGACGGCATCGCATTCATATTTGTCGCGGTTCACCATATATACGATTTCACAGCCCAGGAATTTCTTCAGCGCATAGACGGCTGCGCGACAGGTTCCGCCGCCTCCAATGACCATGCCGGCTGAGCCTTTGATACTGGATATTGTGGATGGTGATGCGTTTTGAAGGAGAGCTTCGCGGATACCGATACAGTCGGTGTTGGTGCCACATAGTATCTTTTTACCGGAGGGAGATATACGGTGGTAGATAGTGTTTATGGCGCCAATGGCGGCACCTTCGGGAGATAATTGATCGAGGTAGGGGATAATGGCTACTTTGAAGGGCATAGTTACGGAGGCGCCGAGAAATTTGGGGTTTTTGGTGAGCTCGATGCAATGTGTGAGGGTTCGGGTTTCGTACAGGTGTTGGAGGTAGTTGAGTGATAGAGAGCGGAAGATTGTACCGTGGACTGGGGGTGAGAAGGGTGGTTAATTGAAGGTTCTGGATGGGTGATCATTGTGGAAAACGAGAATGTGTATGAGTTGTAAGAGGGGTTGGAAGTGATGTATAGATGCAATTTCGAGCGCAGCGAGCTATGGGGGTTTGGGGGCCTGCCCCCCATAGAAGCTACAGTGGATGATGTGATGAGAAGAGTCAAAAATCAAAACTCACAGAGAGGAGAAAGAGAATGAGCAATTGGATACCCAAACAGATACGCAACGCGATCCAATTGGGAAATATCCGGAGGCGGGGTCTCCATCACTGCGGAGGAAATGATGGCGTCTGGGGTGGTCGTGATTGTTTGTGACATAGATGCGGATGGAAATTGATATTCAATATTTTATTGCAACGTGAATCGTATGTCCCAAGAAAAAATAAGTTATAATATGGTTACTGTAGAATCAAGTTCAAAAAAAAAGTCAAAAAGTATACTCAGTTAGCCGGGAAGAGGATCGGAAAAGATATTTTGCACAACCGAGGAAGATGAAGCTTTTGATACCGTAAAGATATCTATCTCACTATGAAAGAAAGAGGAATGATCAAACAAACAACATCATGGGGAAAGAAATGATCTTCTCTGTACGGAGTAAGCCAAGTCTCAGGGTCTAATGCATTTATTAGTATATCTCCACGCGCAGTCCAGCTAGCTACCCGGGTTGTTTGTCAGATGCTTTCTCCATTCGGAGCAGAAGTATGTTCACATCCCAAAGATCGGGAAAACATAAAGCAGAAATTCCTACTGTATAATACCAAATTATGCATCAAATGCTGTATATGTAGATTTGTTATAAAAGATAGCTGATTTGAGAGAAGAAGTCATAACGGAAACCAACCTTGGCAGCCCTGTGCTAAAAATTTTTAAATCCGCGATATTCTTTAGCCGTGAAAAACCCAGGTGTGGGGATGAAGGGGGGTTGAACTCGCTTGAACCAATCATTAGTCAGGAACCCCCTTGTCGTAGCTCAATAAGCGACGGATCGGTACGTTTCGCCGATATGTCACTAATTAAGGTTAGTGATGCCGAAAGTTAGATCTGATAGATTTTAAGTTTTAACGTCTTGAGAGTTTAGCAAAGATTAGCTAGGGAAAAGAAGGCGGGTCTAAATCCCTTGGAGTAGCGGTGTTGGGTATAGAAGAATTAATCTGTGAAAGGGACAAGATATTTGAATGTGCTATGGCATAAAACTGTCTTATCAGATCGGATAATCTTTTTAGAAGTAGAATTACAAGAGTACTTACTGGATTACAACAATCAAATTGGCCTCGGAGGTTGCAGGTTGCAGGTGGCAGTACGTACGTAGTCATCATTCTGATACTGTATCCAAATTGATTTGAATTTTTATATGGATTACTACGGAGTACACTGTACAGTAACCTCGAATCCTCGGTATTACTGTACTTCCTCGGTTCCTTTATGTCTGCAGTTAAACCGAGATAAGATTTTCATCCCTAAGGGCAAATTCCCCGCTGATTCCCCATATGGAGAGCTAATCATGGGGTATCCTTTCCATGACCAAACTCGGAAACATCTCTCTTGTACCTGGCGCAAAAGTCTTTAACCCCCATAAAATCACTATCCGAGCCTCCCATCTACTCCCACTACCGGTATTCTCCCTATAGACATCTCCATTTAAAGGAATAATCTAGTAGGGGTTGAATCAACCAACCAACGTTCAACTTTCAGGGCATGCTTCAAATCCCGCTTTCGCGCGCCAAATCTTGATATTACGAATGGAGTATCGGTACTACCTAGGTATACAAGCTTGATCCTGGTCCTTCTGACCTTGTGCTACCGTACCCAAGTCTGGCCACTAACCCAACATCCCATAATCAAAATAATTTGGCATCATCAGCCACACAAACACAGACATGAATCTTTACCCCAGAATCTAATCCAGACCCCCCCCTGTCCAGCCCCAGAAAGCTGTGGTCTTTCAAGAGCAAGTAGTGGATTTCTATCAAAACTGTCAGATCCACTGCATTCGAGTACCAAATATGGACTTGGACTGCCATTTTCTCCTTATAAAATGGGTGCTCCGCTACGAGTTGTCCTTTTGATCTCAGCATCTATCTTTCTTCTTTTCTATCGCGTGCCGGTTTCATATACTGCTGTCTAGTCAATCAATCATACCTAGTGGACTTGGATGTTAATATCTAGAGTTGCGATATTCTCAATATACAGCAACTGCAGTTGAGCGGGTCCAAGGGTTGAAGCTTGTTGCTAGTGACTCACTCTCTTTTGAAGAATTTTTCCTTCACATCGCCAAGGAATTTGGGAAGTGTACAACAACTTCGAGTTATAGGGAATATAGAAATATATAGTTCTGCAAGATGGGTCTTTTGACTTTGGTTGAAGGTATGATATTTCTTTGGAATTTATTGAGGTTATTCCAAACTTGAGCACTACTAACATTTATAGATCGGCCGACACCGTCATGTGTCTACAATACTCGCGTATACTTTTGCGCAACTGTGTAAGTAATACTGTTGTATTGTCTAATTTATAGAAAGTTAATCAGCTAATCATTATATAGAGCCGCATTTTGTGCAGTGATGATTGGATATGACTCCGCTTTCATTGGAGGAACAATTGCTCTCCCTTCTTTCCAGGATGAATTCAACTGGTCACATTATTCCACCGATGAAGTTATACTCATCTCGGAAAACATCGTTTCATTGTACCAAGCCGGCGCATTCTTTGGTGCTCTAGGTGCTTATGCCGCGGGTCATTATCTTGGTCGAAAATTTGGCCTTCAAGTATTCTCGGGAATCTTCTTTCTTGGCGCAGGCCTAATGTTGGGTGCGAACGGAGATAGAGGTCTCGGTTTGATCTATGGCGGTAGAGTTTTGGCTGGTATTGGTGTTGGTGGAGCTTCAAATTTGACCCCTATTTACATTTCTGAACTCGCTCCTCCGGCTATTCGTGGACGCTTGGTTGGTTTGTATGAGTTGGGATGGCAGGTGGGTGGAGTCGTTGGATTCTGGATTAACGTAAGTCATCTTCCCTTGTAAGTTTTCGATCATCTCCTTTATTGACAAATCAACAGTACGGAGTCTCAACCACTATGCCCTCAAACCACGAGCAATGGATCATTCCATTCGCCATCCAGCTAATTCCCGCTGGTCTCATGTTCGCCGGACTCTTCTTGATCAAAGAATCCCCTAGATGGCTCATGAGCCGCGGTGACCGGGCCACAGCCCTCAAGAACCTCTGCTGGATCAGAAAACTTCCCCAAGACGACATCTACATGCTCGAGGAAGTATCCAGCATTGACGCTGCTCTCGAACAACAGCAATCCACCGTCGGACTCGGCTTTTGGCAACCATTCAAAGCCCTCGGTAGCGACCGCAAAATCATGTACCGCTTTGCCCTCGGCTGCTCCCTCTTCTTCTGGCAAAATACTTCCGGCATCAACGCCATCAACTATTACTCGCCTACTGTCTTCAAGGAAATCGGCGTCGTAGGTACCAACTCCTCTCTCCTCACCACCGGAATCTTTGGCGTAATCAAAGCCGCCGTCACGCTCGTATGGCTCTTCTTCCTCATCGACAACTTTGGTCGTCGAAATCTCCTCATCTACGGTGCCTTTGCAGGAGCCTTCTGTCTCTACTACGTCGGCGCCTACATTGCGATCGCAGACCCATCATCGCACCCCACCACCTCCCTCAGCGCCGGTGGCAAATCCGCCATGGCATTCTTCTACCTCTGGACCGCTTCGTACACCCCTTCATGGAACGGCACCCCTTGGGTCATTAACTCGGAAATGTTTCCCCAGCACGTGCGCACGCTGGGCCAAGCCTTCGCCGCATCCAGTAACTGGTTCTTCAACTTCCTCGTCGCGCGCTTCACGGCGCAAATGTTTCAGGCGATGGGTTATGGTGTCTTTATCCTCTTTGCGTCGTTGATGATGTGCAGTATTGTGTTTGTTTTCTTCTTGATCCCTGAAACAAAGAGTATACCGTTGGAGAGCATGGATCGACTATTTAGCTCAGAGTTGAAGGCGAGACATGCGCATGCCGTTGTGATGCTGGAGTTGAAGAACGACGAGGAAGCGTTCAGGAGGGATGTGGAGAGCAGTGGGATTGGCTTGGATAAGGGAGGGAATGAGAAAAGTGCGCATGTCGAGGTCGTTTAGTGTGGAATTTTCTTCTGACCGGTTTTATAGTAGGACAATGGGAAACATAGGGGAATTAGGAAATTCTATTTGGGTTTGGGGCGCGGGCATTCTATTGGTGCCGGATTTTGGGGGATCAACTTATGGATAGGATAGGATACGTTCGGTCGGTGTATATCTATGATTGCTACGTATGTATGTATGTATATATGTCACAACGAACTTACGAGTATGAAAATAACGAAAAGAAGCTTATTATTTCAATTACGAAAAGGGATTGGCTGTTTGAATGTGACATCGAATATAGACTATCTTATCTGCATGTACTCGAGTATACTTTACATTAAATTACATGATACTCGAGTATGATACAAGACAAGCAATCAAGCGATTTCAAAATCCTTGAAGAGGTAAGAGGTAAGAGGTAAGAGTGTATTACAGTAGGGTATGGTAGTGTAAGGTAAGGTAAGTTGATACAGTAGGAGGTAGGAGGTAGGTGGGAAAGGTTCGTAGGCTAAACGAGGGGGAAACAGAGCCAAGAAGGAAAGAGTGTGTGTACAGTACACTAACTATAATAAAGAATAAAAGGTAATCTCACATCGGGCCTGGTCGATGAAAAGCATAGTTCATGGTGCAATATCAAATTTTGATGTTGAAAAGTGTACGTACTCGAGTATAGTACTATAGTAAGATAAACAAATAAACAAGTAAAATACAAGGAGGTGAAGGATATCTATCTACCTTTTTCTTCATCTTTTCCTCTTTTCTTACATGACTTTGTGAAAAGAGAAAGAAGAAATCTCGATATAATAGGGATCCAAGGGTTCTGTATTTTTGTGTCTTCTATGATTTACTTCCTGTATTGGATTGGCATTGCTTTGCATACTACGCACACGCATGTATAGCTTGAATCCGATTCGACTGTTTTATTTACTTTGGCCCTTAATCCTGATCTTCCATCTAATCTCGTTGCTCATGGTGTCTTCCCATCCAATAACTCCAATTCCCAAAATAAAAACCAAATCAATGCAACAAAACGCTAAATCATGCCACAATTTCATATCTTAAAGTCATCCTCATACTTATACCATCCAAGTCCCTTCCCAAACGTCCCAACTCCCCTTCATATCATCAAACCCCAATCAGACAGAACCCGGAAACATATCACCATCTGCCTGCCTACCAGCCTCCTCGTCCCCATATTTATGATAATTTCCATAAACCTCCATTCTCATACGTCTCTTAGGCGCCTTAATACCAGTCATCAATTCGAATTGTGCGATGGCTTGTTCGGGTAGGACTTCGAGGCCATTGACTAAAACCCAGGCGATTTTGGTTTCGGAGCGGAAGAGGCGCATTTGGGAGAGGAGTGGGGTGGTGAGGGGAGGTTTGTAGGAGAGCTGTTGGAAAAGAAGAGGGTGTTAGTTGGTTTGTTAGAAGTGGAAGAAAGCAAATGAATGGGGGTCGCTATGTATGATGGATGCCATGAAAAGAACGAGAATCGTTCGGACAATGTATCTCATACAAAAAATGCATCCTACTTTGACAATGTACACAAGGTAAAGAATGGAACTCATGAACAATGCACTGTGTACAGATTTTGAGCTTGACTAGGATAATATCCTCGATACAGAAAACGAAGATTACTTGGACAATATATCTAACAGGGAGACTGAACTCCGTTTGAATGATGTGCTCAATGCGGATAATGAAAGGCAAAGGAAAAAGAGTGAAAAACATACCTCAACGACAACTCCACCGGTAGCACTACCCAGCCAATTCATCGGCATCGTAAAGTTAGCCGGTGGTTGATCACCCACACTTCTTGCCGGTACGCACGAAACTATCATAGTAGGTGGTCTAAACCCCGTTGGCCATTCCTCTTGTAGTGATTGCAACACATGTACGATCTTCCCACTATTATTTAGACTCGTCGCCCACGAATTAAAATGATCAGAGACTCTTTGAGCATTCTCAATCGTACGGTTGAAGATAAATATCTTGCGACATCCTAGTAGAATCATGGCGTAGACGGCTGCCCGTGCCATACCACCTGCGCCTATGACTAGACCTGTTGTTTTGGATGGCTGGACGACATTTCGTGGTGATATATTGCGGCGGAGACATGTCATTATGCCAATGAAATCGGTGTTGTCGCCATAATAAGCACAGACGGGTCCAGCTTTACTTCGGCGATTTGCTTGTTCAAGTAATGATTGCGTGGTACCACCAAAAGGATTGCCGTCTAGAGATGTCCGAAGTGGAAGAAGAGTATTTACTGCTCCAATGGCTTTTGCATGGTAGCTTTTTGGGCCGATTTGGGACATGATTTGGACTTTGAATGGCTGTGTGATGGCTGCACCACCGAAATCGGGTCGTTGACAAATGGCATGAATGTCATCAACGGATTGGACTTGGAGCGATTGAAAATTGTTACTCATACCACACACCTTGTAAGCTGTGTTGTGCATGGCTGGGGACAAACTGTAGGATACACTAGCTCCAAGATGTACGAAATGGAGCGGGTCGAGGATAGACTTTCGGTATAGTTCTTGTCGGGCCTCCGCGGCTGTTGGTAAATACTGTCGGGTTCGACTCTTGCTGACTGTGGAATTCATGATAGGATGCGTTACTGGAGTGAAAATCCGATTCTCGATCAGCGAACGCCTTCCATGATCCCCTAGGTTGTAGGCAATAACCGGAAGATGGCTCGGAAGAGATTCGATGTTCCTCAAAAAACCTCGAACCATTTCATTGTCGCTTTCTTTCGAGGTTGCTCGGACAAACCGGACTATATCACACCCTATCGATTCAGCCCTTCGATATTGGATCATCCTAGACTCATCATCCCACCCCCATGAATTTTCGACGCGATGAAGATAGTGTCCGATAATTTTCGTACGTCCAGAAGACTGGATAAGGTGCATGACACGATCCGACGAATATTTAAGATCGATGACAATGTACTCAACACCTAAACGTAACCCGTGTTCAAGCACGCCAAAATAAATATCTTCTTTCTCAGATATGGACAGCGAGATAGCTTCAAAGGCATATTCTTCAGCATGAAGAATCACTGGTACGCTAAGTTCTCTTCTTACAGTCGACACTTGCTTCGCCAATTCTCGTTGAATATCGGGTGATGTTAAGGCATCAACCTTGATTTGAACTGCATCGGCTCCAGATTCCAGTTGCTGAAGATCCAGATCGGGAACTGTTGACATGCGGACAGATAATGCATAAGTGTACAGTCTGCATTCAGGTGGTAGAGCCGCGATAGAGAATGGACTTTCCAAACTATTACGTATGACTCCTTGTCCCGTGATGAAGTCAAGAAATGCAGAAAAGTCTTCCTTTGCATGTTTTAACTTGGATGAAATATTGGGAAGCCCCTTATCCTTGGGATTCGCCATCCCATCACAGCTTCTGTCGTGCAAATTATAATATTCATAATTTGAACAAAATCGATGGGCAGCATCGGCATTCTCGAGACGTGCAGCTTCAACATCTTCTATATTTAGCATCTCTCGAATCCTTTGACTGTTTCGTATGATGTAAATCACGGGATTTGTGTTCGTATATTCTCGACTACAACATTGTAGAATCAGTAACTGTGTTTCAAAGGAACCAAAATGATAGAGGGGAATGGAGAGAATGGGTCATCCAGACAGATTTAGCCATCCAAATAAATTTAAATGTTCTGATAGAATCAGATGCTCAGATAAATCCAAACACTCAAATGAATGTAAATATCGATATCAAGGCAAATATCTATACAGATTCAAATATTGAAGCAGAGTTGAAGGTTCGAAGGGATACAAATACACATCGAAACAAGATAGGTACTAGAAAGTATGAGAGGCAGAATTACACTTACAGCGTCTTTTGCACCTCAGTTGCGAGACTTCCCATGCCACATTCAATAATGCATCCTGTTCGATTTGCATATAGCATTTGCCTCGCAACATCAATATTTCGTTTGTAGAATTCTTGTGGTCCATTTTGCTGGACATAAGCAGCTCGAGAAAGGCCAGTAACCTCCTGAAAATAATGGTCCTCAGTAATTAAACGTCGACCAAGATGAGTTGCTCCAATAAATCCCAAACTTCGCTTTCCTGACCCTCGAGAGCCTACGAGAATGATTGATGCATCGGAAGAGAAGATTCGACCTTTTCTCTGCACTCCTGAGTTTAGCTGTATCGACTTTCCCATGGTTCCATTGTTTGAGATGGTCTGAGTTGTGAGTAGAGACATCTTTTTGCTCGCATTCTGAATCTCTCTTCGATTTGCACGTGATTGGTCAAGATTGGACGCATGGAATGAAGGGGGGAGTCTGTTTCCAGTGGTAGGTATTAATTATCCCAGATCACGAAAGGATTATTAGAGGAAATGGCATTTCTTGAACAACTGGTACATTTCTTTTTGATCGCTTTCTTGGTAAAGGGCATTGAGACGGTCTATCGGTCTATCAGTCTATTTAAAATTAAACTCAAAACCACCAAGCTAGCCAATGAACATGCTCAGATAATACCTTAGTAAGCATAGCGGGTAAGAAATTTTCCGCTCTGCAAAGTGCTAGTCTTGGCGGTCTGTGGGGTATGGGGAAGGGAAAGGTGGAAGATGTAGGATGGAAGATGGAAACTGAATATCAACATCAAGTCAAATCAATCTTGTTGCTGTCAAAAGCGATGAAGCAATGCGATATTTGGCAGGAAAACGGTACTCACCCAGCTGTTATAACCTTCAGGCGCGAACGACGGTCCATTTGCAATTGATATGATGCGGAAGCAAGAAATTATCCTCTTCATCGAAACAAGGAAGGAATCAATTGGTGATAGATACATGGGTCGCATGCGAGGGTATCTCGGGCTGAAGCCGACATCGTTCCTTGTTGTCCACTATCTGTTGTAGCAATGGAGCAAGAAGATTCCACCCGGAGCACGAAACTTGTGGTGGCATCATCGAACAACGAAAAGGACGCAACGGATGGGCAGGGGGGCTCCAGGAATACCAAACAATTGCAAAGCACAAGGAAGAGGGTTTCTCAAGCTTGCGATAAGTGTCGGAGTCGCAAAGACAAGTGCGATGGGAAACGGCCATCATGCTCAACTTGTTTGACCCACGGCCGGACATGTTCATACGACGCGAATGTGAAGAAACGAGGGTTGCCAGAAGGTGCGTGTAATTAATTTTGTTTGAATTGCAGGGTTTGTGTGGATATTTCAATCTGTTTGAATGTTTGGATCATCTTAAATATTCGAACCTAACCGAATATGAACGGTCCAACTTCTGCATTGCCTTGATACGCAGTCACTGACTTCTTGATTTTTAGGATATGTTCGTGGGATAGAGAAACTATGGGGTCTTACGATAAGGGAGGTCAAAGGTGTTGAGGAAGGAATTCTCTCTATATTCAATGGGGATGAAACAAATGAGGCACTTGTTAGTACTTGGAGAAATGAGGATGGACAATCGGACAGCCTGGCCGAGGTATGGAGGAAGTCTCAATTGTCAAGAGAGCTTGAGAGATTACTACCGATTTTAGAACCAGGGCCTGGATCCGGTAGCGCTGAAATAATTAAAAGAAAACGGCTTGATTCAGACGTCCAATTAGGGAAACGGCCGGTGCTAGGTGGCCAGTCAAATTCTCCTATATCTGTTCCGAACAATGAATATCAACCAAGAACATCGATAAGCGGTTGGCCAGATCAGAAAATTGATTTTCAGATACCAGAGGAAGTACCTGCGTCACCAATAGCAGCCGGTGGCTCTACGAGAAGCTTTGCAAACGGTGTACAAGATCCAGGCGCACACTATGCATCAATACCAAGTCCTGCTTACCCAATAGTCTCAATTGACATCAACGCCAGTACGACTTTGCCAGAACTTCCATCGGAGACCTGGCATCTACTTGATGTATATTTTTCTTATACTCATTGCTGGCTACCCATTGTAGAAAAGCACGATTTACTACGAATCTCGTATCAATATTCTCAAATAAGAGATAGTGGAACCGAGGGTTTCAGTGGTGACCATGCACTTTTATGGGCTGCAATAGCTTATGCTAAGTTTCAACATAGAGCAATAAACAACATACCTCATGCTGTGGGGCTGGTATCGCAAGATGTCTGGACAGCCGAAAGAATGTATACACACGCAAGAGCTCTTATCCCGAACGAAGAAGGAAACCTAGATCTTGGCCATGTGCAGGCTTTACTAATATTGACTCTTACAAATCTTGGCCTGGGGCATTTTAACAGGGCTTGGATTCTTGTTGGACAAGCTGTCAGAATTGCCATCGAGCTTGGTCTAGAGAAATCCTCAGCCGAGGACCTAAAGTCCTCGAAGCATAGCTCGAGATCTAAGCATGTGTTCCTTGGATGCTTTGCTCTAGACACCTTAGTCGCAGCACGGCTACGAAGGCGGCCACATTTAAGTTCAGATGATCTGGAACCCGTCGGGATATTGGTTGAAGATGGCCTGGAAGAATGGGATCCCTGGATGGATTGTCTCACTGTCCGAAGAATCGCCATCGAAAATTCTAGAGTCCCTGCATCTATTTTGAGTACTTTCAATCGCCTCATTCAAGTCCTTCAGATACTAAATGATGCAAGTCGTGTATCCGAAAGTGCAAAGACTGCCCAATTCGGTACTGGCTTATTGGAAAGGCTAAATGTATGGAGTCGTTCCCAATCCCAGTCCCTGTACTTCGATTCCACTGCCACGAATAGCGAGCAAGCTTCTTCATTGCTACCACATCATTATCATCTTCACGTTGCATATTTCACCACACTTGCAGGATGCCAACTCCTTACCCATGGTCTGCGAAAAGGAAGCCCGGATTTAGAACCTTGCACGAGATCGGCACGTCAAATAGTCCATCTTTTGAAGCGGCATTCATACACCTTTGGACTTCTCATTATTCCACCCACATTCGAGTATTTCACCAAGACGGCATATGATGTTGTCCATGCTGTTCGGCGGAGTATAGAAAATACTCATATCGGTGAGCATAATCGATTATTTCCTTACTTTGATCTCCAAACCTTCTCAATGTTCAACTCTTCCTTATTGCCCGACACTTTCTCAATGTCCAAGTATCTTTGCATGCTCCATCTTTTTTAATAAACAACTACTGACTTCCCGACGTTGTAGTTCTTGACGATTGGAAATATGATTTAGATATGTGTGTTTCTACAATGGAACCAGCTTGGCCGGTATTTGAACTCTTTAAAAATGCTGCCAGTAATGCGAAGTCAAGAATTCGACGTGAAAGCCACGCTGCGTCTGATCTTAGTATCCCGACCGCCGCGGAAACACCTCAATCGGCCAAAACGCCTAACAGTACTGCCAGCTACGAGATAATCCAGCCATACAGTCCTCAAATCTTCCGATCGCAATCATTGAATAGTGTGGATGTATCACGGCCCAACAAAAATAATCTGCAGTACGCAAAGAATCTCGTCCCGCCAACATCACATGTAAGCTTAATTTGTTGCTTTATATCGCACTCCAAATGTCCGAATTTGTCGAATATTTCGAATTCTGCATCCCGTCCACTTACAAAGCTTTACTTTCTCATTTTTCTCAAATGGTCTTCCATGTTAGGCCAGTACTGACCTCCACGACGTCGCAGTCTAACACCACTTTCAATGGTTCCATGGCTGAGAATTTCGCTCCGAGAATCCCAGAAAGTCCTCAATCGTTGTATAATAGTGGAAATAACGCAATTCTAAACCCGTGGAGTGTTCACCAACAAAATCAGAATCAAAACCGGGCCACAAATCAAATGCCATTTGGATTGCTCCAGCCATCACCCAACCTGCAACGAGCTTTACTTCCGAGTAGTATGGATAATGATGGTGATGCGATATTCAACGATTTCGCTGTCATGGATGCAATGGAATGGTATGCGACTCCCCATTCGAAACCATACCTGGCAAATTAAGTGTAATACTAATAATATATAGGACGAATAGTACGGATCAAAGTCTAGTAAATCTCGGTTTTGAAGATCCAGACAAACGAAACCAGGACTTTTATAGATTCTGTCGTGAACCCGACCCGCTATATTCAAACAACAGTATATTTCAGCAATTACTCGCGAACTCTGCGGCAGATCCATCGGGGATGGGTGCTCAAGGTTTTGAAAATACGGGGATAGGTATGCCTAGTGCCACGACTTTTGGAGGAGGTATGGATTTTGGGAACGGCGATGAAGGAATAGAGGCTGGGCAGATACTCCAAGCATTGAGTGCTGCTGAAGAGCAAAGAACCAACACTGGTGGGAATGGTTGATGCATCTTCCGGGTTTGGAAAAAGAAGGACTTTGGAAAAATGTATGGTTGGGTGTAAAAGCGTGTATGCTTCCAATAACTTGACCTAAAGATGGATTGCCATCCTGGAAGTATATTTGATCCATACAAACCAATATCTAACCGCGATATGTATTATGTACGCCAAGTTGTAGGATGATCCCCATCCCTCCAAACGCCGTGTGGATGTATATCGTCCTTCTAGTGCCATATTCAAGGCTTTAAAACCCTACAATTTAGCCATTACTCCACTCCCCACCTCTCCTCTCTTCTCCCTTTCTAGCCTTCTCTCATAGACATTAGCACCGACATTATCCCACCCCATCTCCCCACATACATATTTCCAGCTCCTCATCGCCCTCTCGGCATGTTCTCTCGGCACATGATCTCCCTTTGCCACCAAACTCCGATTAAATAATTCGAAGCTCACCCACCCCTTATACCCCAATCCATCACAAATAGCCTTCACCACATCCATCACCGGCAAATAACCCCCTCTATTCTGCTCTCCCAAAAATAGCCTACAATTCCGGCTCCACGACATGCGTGCTTTCTGTCCCTCAACATAATACTCATTGCCCTCCACCAGCGGTACAGCCAAGCGCTCCGCATCCGCGATCTGGATATAGAACACCTTTTTGGCATCAATGGCCTGCACCATTTTCTCCATGCTCTTCGTAAACGCCTCTTGCGCATTCGGTACCGTACCCGTAGAAGAAGCCGGATCCGCAAACTCGCGTCCAGCGATATTGAACGTATCGAGACACATGCCAAAGTTCTCCCGATCAACACCCTGGACAACTTCCCACGCACCACTCCACGTATCAATATACGTACCAAAACACAAATTCTCAAACGCGAATCGAAAGGGCGGTTTTTGGGCAGCGCCCAAATCGGCTAATTCCCGCAGATCGCATATTATTTGCGAAAGGGATGATGTGTGGGTGGAGGGAGGGGCAAATGTCGAGGGGACTTGTATGAGATCGGTGCCGAGGATTCGACATACTTGGAACCAGAGATGTAGTTCCTGACGTTTGGATGCGCGGGCTGAGGGGGACAGAAGTCCTTCGTAGTTGGAGAAGGGACCGCAGGCTATGATGGGTAGTGCATAGTATGAGGAGAGGGAGCGGATGTATTGGGCGGCGTGGATGTGGGATGAGGGTGAGGGGTGCGAGGGAAGAGTGGAGGCTAAATCGGCGATGTCTTCGTAGACTTTGGGGGAAGTTTAGCTTTTGTTTTGGTGGTGAAGGGGGTGGTGAAGGGGAGGGTGTTCTTGTTCTTACACATTTCCATGCCAGAGAGACCGGCGTCTCGCGCGGCTTTGAACTTGGTCTCCAGGCTGTGGTGGGCGAAACAGCGTCCGAGGGACATGCTTGCAATGGCTGGTTTGTAAGACATGATGATATCTTCTACGTACGTTCGTTGACGTAGATTATCAGATAGACTTTGATATAGATATAGATGAAAATAAAAATGTAAATAATATTCAGATACCGGTAGTAATATGATATCGATATATACTACTGACTGGATATGCAATACAACGCAATACAATAAAATACAGCGGAAAGACAACAGTAATAAATCGTAGTGATAACGAAATCAAGAGAGCTCAACTCCAATCAAGCAACTAGAATGGCATTCGTCTTTGATAGATCATAGATATAAACAGCCAGCCACAATGTTTATATCAACCCAATACCAAGAAAATCCCGATACAGATACAGATACACACATGAAAGCCAAGTCCTTAACCCCATATCATATCCTGATAATATCCACATCATTCATATCTTTTCCCCTCCATGTGTTCTTCAGATAGGACTACCACTGGTACGGTACTATCACACCTTTCTATCTCTTAAAACTTTAAGAAGATATACTCAGTACTCATATCGACCAAACACAGAGTATAGTAGCATACCGGTAGGAATTGGCTAGAAATAAGTTGAGATTTTAGACGGGTAATATCTCTTTTCCAAATTCCAATGGCGGAGTAGTGTTTTGCCGCTTCTGGTACTGTATGTACTGTAACGGAGTTTATCCGAATCTCCATTCCTTTATTACCGGTACTCAAATTCCCTTCCCCTCCACTCCACAACGTGTATGAGGAAGTCCCCAGATTCAGGGTAGGTATGACACGGGCGATTTTGTTCTTTTGTTCTTGCTGTTTGATAGCTGGGATGGAGATGGAGTAATCCTCGTGGTATTAAAAGTACAAGTGAAGATTTGATGCGTGGATTAGTCAGCTTCGCAAAGCGGCAAAAGTCCGGAAACCTCAATCCAAGAAAGAACTCTTTCCACACCCTGGGCCTCGAATCACTGATCATATGTGAAAAGATACCGAACACACGATTTGGCAATCATTTACAGAATCTTTATCAAGTAGGATTTGACTGGCGGGCATATCTACGTCTTCGTTGTTGTCCGAGCCATGAATAGCAATCACGTCCCCATACTATACTCCTCACAATTGCAAACAATAACCACTCGAGTACAATATCTACAGAACCACTGGTCTTGTTATACTCACCAGCATAGGCTCCGGTTGAATCCTTCCTCGATATGCTCAATCAATCCTTTGTAAGTCACCGACCATTCAACCGATACATTATCTCAGACCCCCATGTCGTGGAGAATGCAACCTCTCTTGCTTCCTCTCAGCTACTAAACTAACCGCGGTCCGTCTCAATATGCGCACCAAACAAACCTGATACATGCTCATATCCCTATATTAATCTCCTGTATCGAAGCTGGCATAAGACATTCCGGTATTCTCGTTAAAAGCCCGTCTCGAAGTCACACGTTGCAGCCTTCCCAATCCCCGCAAAATCACAACCAATTGCCCACCTTTTGTGTGATTGCGCAGGTGTCCTCAAACATAGTGTCAAATAGCTGTTGGAACTTGACATCTATCGCTAATGTTATCCTCCGGGTAAATTGTATTACCTTCTCTAGAAATTGGGGTTGCAAGAATGTATTCACGTCTTGTACACCCAGCCATTGATTCGTGTATATTTTCAATAACAGCATAGATGGATCAATATCTATATCCTAGAGACGAAGATATGAACTGTTGAGATAAACCGGACTAGGTATTCTTTGGGTATGTATATGCCCGGGAAGATTTCATTGACTAGTTTTGCAAAGCCGACATCAGGATGTCCATCATGCCGCCAGGAATATGGTTGTGAAATTTGCGGGAGCGGTATTGTATTGTCTTTTTTCTGAAAGCCAGCCAGATATTCGTGAGGTCCTTAGTTTCTTAGGGTAGGCAGAGGGGGTCTCCATCCGTATAACAAAATCGCAAATATGTGCAAGCGTAAGTTTGACATGCACAGTATGCTTGTATGGGTGGGAGTAGGGTAAAGCTCACTGACTTTGTATACTCTCAATATTAACATCTGTTCTTTTGCTACTTGTCTTGGACTCTCTGGCTCAGAAGAGTCACGATTAATCCTTTTGCAGTTTCAGACATAGGATCGGTAGGTCAATTATCAAAACACCCTACGATTTTTGAAGGGTTTGATGGCATTGTGGCTCATAATATCTGTAACCTTTACATTCAGTACGTTGAATTTTTCGCGTGTCAGTGAATACAAAGAACAGCGAAAGAGTATCTACCAGCTTCACAACTTCGGAGCTGGCTCCGTTTCCATTAGGAAACGCTCCAAAATTCGTCGAACATAAGGCCAAACAGGCTCGACCAAGGAATGGCGCAAGCTATCCACGGCCGCCCACTCAAGAGCAGTAAAACCCTGACCACGAATACGATAACTTTCTAGCGCAGCCATGAGAGCGCGCGATCTCGATAAAGGAACAAAGACATCTTCCTTTCCATGCAGCATATACAATTGGGTCTCCTTCACCCAGCCATCAAATACCGGCAATCCATTCTTTTCCTGCATTTGTGCTATGTTCTCTAACGGGATGGCAGAAAAGCCAGCCCATGTAATGACTGCCCCAAGATCTGCAGCTCTTCGTCGAGTGAGCAGGAACAAGTACAGAATCGAAGCTCCCTGACTGTCGCCCATAAATACGATCTTATTCGCAGGCGTCCCTGTTGCAACCTCTGAATCAATAAGATATTCGAAATAGTCAAGTGAAGTTTCGATATCGTTGATATCAGAATTATGCTGCCCAAACTCATGGATCTTCGAAGGATCACCAGCAGAAGGAATGGGTTGGTCAATGTTATACCACGTATATTTTCCCGGAGAAGGCCAGATATTTGCCAGCCCTTCCGGAATAATTATCTTGACATGCTGGAGTGAAGGTGACTTGTGGATGTGATGAGCTACAGATAATCTATTTGGAGGATGCTGATTGAACTGGTCAGCCGACCAGCCATAACCATGTATAAAAATAAGCGTAGCAGGCGAGGAAGTCTTTGTGGTAGTTTTTGGTGATGGGATGGTGATTGGAGATCTCCGATCCTTTTTCGAGGACATTTTGCCGAGGTTACGGATACAGGTGCACTCGGTAGCACTACCAGATACTGAAGCAGTTTGTTTGTTGTACTGCTTATCGTTGCATTTTATTTGATAATAGTAAGGCAATATATATTATACAATGTGGCTAAGTTGTATACAATTTTGTGAAATGTGATGAACGAGAATGAAGCAGACTGATACCGGTAGGTGATGATGTCTATGTGAAGCGCCAAGAAGCTACAAGCTAACCTTAAATAGGCGGTGACCTGATTATATAAGCAAGATTTCACACTCCAGACTAATCACACTCTGCAACGTCGAGCCACCCAACACTGACAAATGCTGATAATGTTGGCCAGTGCCTCGTTTAACGCCGAAGAAGAGTAGTGATAGATGGTATCTAACTACGAGCAGGATGTATTATGCTACGAATCTGTATCATTGCCGGCTCTGAGCTGGTACTCGATTAGAATCATGACTACCGTACTCTCTCCTTATGTTAATGTTGCGTCTTCGTCTTCGTCTACTTGCTCCAGAGTTTCTTTATTCATTACCACTACTGTTGCTGACCACTACTGAAGCGCAGACTGGCTATCTTAAACTGGATGATTCGATACTGGCGTGGAGGTTCTTGCGACTGGTGAGGATTAGTCAATTTCAATTTCATATAACGTGG